AATGAATGTTGAAGGTCCTATTAGTTTCAATATTTTTGCCTTCAAAACAGCTTCACGTATTTGTTTCAAGGGTAAATTATATTTTACCCCCCTGTGGTTTACCCTTTTTTACATAACCCCCATATGGTTTCAAAAGCTATACATAACCCCCTCATGGTTTGGATTAAAGTGTCAAAGTAACGGAAATAGTCCCTCGTAACGGAACTTCAAAAAATGTCGAAATTACCCTTATAAATACATGACACATTAACCCCCTATGATTTTTATATTTTACCATATAACCCCCTTATGGTTTAATACTTTACCATATAACCCCCTTATGATTTTCAAAATATACACATAACCCCCCTTGGTTAATACATAAATTTCAGCCTTACATAAGGGTATTTTTGACATTTTAGATGACGCCGTTACGAGTGACTATTTTCGTTACTTTGACACTTTAATCCAAACCATAAGGGGGTTATGTATAGCTTTTGAAACCATAGAGGGATTATGTGAAAAAACGCTAAACCACAGGGGGGTAAAGTAGAATTTGCCCTTGTTTCAATATTTGTGTGCATTTGCTATTATTGCACACGTTAGCCTCAAGGCCAAAGGACAAGGGACACAAAAATAGATAATTATCCACAAAGAGGTAATTAGTGTAGCTTTTTAATAGTTTGGGCGTTAATGAAAATTCAAATCTGTGGTAGGTTTAAGTGTTTAATTACTTACTTCGGTAATATTGTTGTGTTAGTGAATAAGTAAACAATACTCAATTGGACGATTATCTAATTGAGCTCAAATAAGTGATAAACCTATAAGCAAACCCTGGTTTGGCTCCAATAAAAGAAAGGATAAATTACTAGTAACCCCTTTGTAGTTTCACATATTATTCTATGAGCCCCTAACATTTTAAACCATCCACATAAACCCCCTTGGTTTTATATACAGCAGAAATTTGATGGAAAGCTACTTTTCTAATGTTGTTAGTTGAAATGTCAATATTACTCTTACTTAATTTTACTTACTGCTTTGAATAAATTCACCGGGAAACTAATTATGTGGGTATATGTAAAATCATACGGGAGTTAAGTGGCTATTTATGTAAAATTATAAGGGGCTATGTAGATATTATAGTTTCACATTTTTGGAGCTCATTTGTGTCAATTGCCATCATCAAATGTACTTTTCGTTCATTTTTCCAATTACATAAGATCATAGAAGGTGTTACGTGGGTATCTTGAAACATTATAGGGTCATGTGGGAATATGCAAAAGTAAAATTGGGTTATTAGTAAATTACCCTAAAGAAAATCAAAACTATTTTTTCCTGGAACTCAAATACTGATCGCACGATCCATTCTCAAGTCCAGCGAGAAAGTTATCATTCCGAAAACAAAACCAAACATCACCTTTCAAGGACAAGGCTTTACGTCCACGGCAATTGTGTGGAATGATACAGCCAATTCTTCGCATGGCACATTTTACAGCGGCTCCGTTCAAGTTTTTGCTGCCAACTTCATAGCCAAGAACATAAGTTTCATGGTCAGTAATTTCCTCAATCACTATATATAATTTCATTGCATAGTTCCCACTCCTCTCATTTGTATAATGTAACACTTATTTACCTAATGCCCTATTATACAAAAAAGTTAATATATACTTCTGCATAAATAAAAGGGCAAATTACACTTTACCTTCCTGTGGTTTAGTATTTTTTTACATAATCCTCACATGGTTTCAAAAACTATATATAATCTTCTCATAGTTTGGATTAAACTGTCAAAGTGACAGAAATGATCATTCGTAACAGAGTCACTTAAAATGTCAAAAATACCCTTATGTAAAGCTGAAAATTATTTATTAACCAAGAGGGGTTATGTGTATATTTTAAAAACTATAAAGAGATTATATGATAAAACATTAAACCATAAGGAGGTTATATGGTAAAATATAAAAATCATACGGAGTCAGTGTGTCATGTATTTATAAGGGTAATTTCGATATTTTTAAAAGTTCTGTAACGAATAACTATTTTCGTCACTTTGACACTTTAATCTAAACCACGAGAGAGTTATGCACAACATCATAGGAAGGTTATTAAAAAATACAAAACTACAGGGGATTTCCCTAAATAAAATGTAAGTACAGTGACAATTACTACGACTATTTAAAGTACCAAGTTTAGGCAAGGTTCCTAATCCTAATAGCATTATCACACGAGATATAGAACGTGGCCCCTATACCTGGTCCGGGAGCAATGGGAGCACAAGCAGTAGCGATGAGAATAGCGGGAGACCAAGCGGCCTTCTGGGGTTGTGGGTTCTTTGGAGCGCAGGACACCCTGCATGATGACCGAGGCCGCCACTATTTTAAAGAATGTTACATACAAGGCTCCATTGATTTCGTCTTTGGCAATGGGAAATCATTTTATGAGGTAATAATTGTGACCACCATCTCGAATTGATTGTTTTTATCATTCGTGCATGATGGTTGATGCATTTGCAATGTGCAAGGACTACCACAAATTACTAACTTAATTGTCTCTTTTTTTTTTTTTTGGTCAACTTCTGTAAAATGGCTTGAACAGATTGTATTAAAAGGTAAATTATGGGGGTGAATCTGGTTTAGAACTTGTACATAAATAAACCTTGTGACCAGGGGTGGATTTACTCAATGTTCAGTGTGGGCACGTGCTACCGCTAAACCAAAAACAAATTGCATTTCTAGGCATTGAGATTTCCTCGTCTTATCTAATGGTTATACGGGTTATTACTTGATATTCACTTTGTGAATATTGTTATTGCTCAATACTAATTATAGGACTAAAAAAACTTTATTTTTAATTGTGTCCTCACTGCAAATTTTTTCCAGCTTAGGACTACCAAGTGTGCAAATTAAAGTTTGTGATTTGCCATGTTAAATGTCAATAGCATACCATGCTCGGGAAAAATTCTTTTTCAAAGATAAACTAAGTCACCATAAATTCAGTCTGAAACCTTTTTCACCTATGTTAACGTTCTTGACATTACATCAAACTGATATTTATTTGTAAAATTTAGAAAATCTAGTACCACTTTTTATATTTTGTGTGCGTAAAGCATTTTAACAGGAACATTCTATGGCTCAGGCATTTTCTTTGTCTACAAAACTGGATATCATAATGAGACGGACAGAGCAAGCAAAACGTTTAATACATACATCTGGAATCAAGAGATCTAGTAATTGTTTAAAAAAGTTCACCTTCCTAGCTAACTGCTGAGCATAATCAACCAGAATTGCCAGTTAACCTCAATAGCGAACCCAGTGGCAGTAGGAGCAAGGGCGATAACCGGAGCAGTGACGGCGCATGGGCGAGCTTCCAAGGACGAAAACAGTGGCTATGCTTTCGTGAATTGCAGCATTGGAGGAACAGGAAGAATCTGGCTGGGACGAGCGTGGAGGCCCTTCTCCACTGTTGTGTTTGCTTACACTTCTATGTCTGACATCATTGCTTCTGAGGGATGGAATGACTTCAATGATCCTTCCAGAGACCAGTACGGAAGGGGCTAGCTGCTGCTGCCATAACCCTTTGATCATTACCATTATTCATTTTGCGACCTTCTTTAAGTAATTTTTGCTGTTGAATCGATCTATGATTAACCAAGAAATTAATATGCCGTATGTATACATGCATGCAGGACTGTTTTCTATGGGGAGTACAATTGTTCTGGCAATGGAGCTAATACAACACTAAGGGTGCCTTATGCCCAAAAGCTCAATGATACACAAGCTACACCTTTTCTGAATATTTCTTTCATCGATGGTGATCAGTGGCTGCAACCATACAGTTAGGTTGAACATGGTGTTAATTAAGTTGTGGGAAGAATTTGCAATGGCTGAATTCAGAATTGGGTGTTTTCAATTTTCAATGATTTAAATTATAATGATTGAAGGATGAATAGCTTTATTTGGAATTAATTTCTGAAATGATTTATTGTAGCGTTTGAAACATGAATAAATTTCTTGAAAGGATTCAAGAAGATTTAACAAGTAATTTATCATTTTGTGTTTCTAGAAGACTTTTTTTTTTTAAAAAAAAAATAATTATTATCTGTATTAAAACACTTGTAACATGCTATAAGGGTCCAAGTACATAAATCTAAAATCTGTTCCCTTCAAAAAACTTGTGCCGAAGCTTTGTCTCCAACAGAATGAGGCATCCAACAATTTAGTAACTTGAATATTTTGCAACAGGTGTAAATCTAGAGGTCTATATATAATTGCATACTCAATTTTTTGAAAGCTCAAATATATATGTTGGTAGAGAAGTACAATGATTAGATGGTGGCGACTAGGATGCATCAGCTAGTTGTCAAGGTCATCGAAAAAATTATTATATCTCTAACTATTTATTAGCATTTTTTTATTACTTTGTACTTTTCAAGTTTTTTAATGATCACATGCGATAGAATAAATTATCTCTTGACATACCTCAAGAAAATTTAAGATGCTTTTTGTTGTTTTCTGCATGTATTTTATGGTTGAAACTTGAACGACGAAATGATCAGTACTCCGGTGATTTATAAGTTTCATGGTGTTAACATTTTTTTTCTTTTCTAATTGAGAAATTATAATGATGTTTCACTTGCTCTTTTAACGATCCACACCGGTGACCGAGACTCTCGATTATAATTCATAGAGTGCACCAGTTGCCTGCTTTAAGAGGCTGTTCTTAACCAGGCTAGGCAAAAAAAATCTGCAAACCCAAAAATCCACGAGACCCAATTTGATGAAAACTGAAAATCAAGATATCTTGCTCTCCATTTACCTGTTGATGCAGGTCGAAGGATGGGTTTTACTCAGTAAGAACTTCGATACGAGTAACGATTTTGGTGACCAGCAAGTACTCACTCTGTCTCTGTATCTCATAAACAGAATTGTTTATAGTTAACTTTTTTCCTTCACAAAATTCCAAACGCAGAAAAGATTCCGAACATATAGTCTGAGTGGAGTCGTGGGAATGAGTAATCAAATGTCATCGACTTCAAACACCTGTCCCAGACACGCACGCACCTCCCAAGACTCTCAGCCCTTATACAGGATGGCAGAATCAGCCCTTTTTCTTTCAACAAAGAGGTACCACCTTATGTTTTTCTTTGCCCAGCATTTCAGTTTTCACTTCCTCATCAAAGCCTATATCTCCAAAACCATGCATTCGTCCAGAAAAAGAACCACGAATCTCTGTACTTTGTGACACTGTAATACAGGTTGATCGCTGCCAAGTTTGCATATCTTTCCTGGTTACTAATATCTCCCTTTTCAAAAATTTATATATCTTTCAGAAAAGTTCATAGCGTGTTTGTTTGCATGTTTTTATGAATGCTACTGGAAGTTTTTGACCAATCAGGTTTTGTTGGTTTTCTCTCAGGGTTGCAGTTGTTACAGGAGCGAACAAGGGGATAGGATTAGAGATATGTAGGCAATTAGCTTCCAAAGGGGTGATGGTGGTTTTAACTGCTAGAGACCAAAAAAAGGGTATTGAAGCCGTTCAAAGTCTCAAGGCCAGGGCTTCTTGTGATAATGTCATTTTTCATCAGCTGGATGTGGGGGCCCCTTCAAGTATAGCTTCCCTGGCAGACTTTATCAAGACCCGATTTGGGAAGCTTGACATATTGGTATATTTCGCAGTATTTTCTCTCTTTCCTGAGCTTCCAAGCACCTTATATTAGATTTGTTGGTTCAAAACTGGGTTTTTTTTTTTAAAACTAAAATTGCGCATTTTTCTGGCTTAGTTACTTATGGTTAATTGGTTATACTCCAGCTATACCTTTATGCTTGTGTAACAGTGCATTTGATTGAAGAGTTAAGCTAAGCATGCTTATTTTATCTCTTTCTTTACTTTTTTTTTTCATGTTTCACTTGAATCTGTTTATGTGATATCATTCCCCTGTTCTCATGTGCCAAAATAAATATGATACAGCACTCAATTGCTCCATTCTAAAGCTCAACCCGATGGATGGAGCATCTTTCAAAGCTATTGTATTTCAGATTATGGTCATGAGTTCAGCAGCTACAATACTAGAAATTTGATTTATACATATGGGATTAAGTTAACTCCAGGTCCAGGGGAAAGGAGATGAAACTCCTAAAGGAAGTTGATCAATGGGCTGAATGATCGTCAGATGTAGAATGAGGGCTAATATAAAAGAAGTGAAAGGACTTCAGGGAATATTCAGGCATTGTTCTGACGCATTTTCATTATTTCTTGTACCAAAAATGTCCGCAGTAGCACAGATGCTTCAAAATTTTCAAGCATTCTGGGAAATTCTGTCTTTCGCTTATGCACAATCAATCATCTTAAACTGTTTTTAAAAATCTAAACCAACATTTGCATGTTACTTGTCTAAGGTGTGATCGACCATGATCTAACCTAATCAGAGGGGATTAATAGAGCTTTGCGTATTATCATTTGTGCTGCATGCATGGATATTTCATGTTTCTTAGAAATATTGTGTAAGGTGACAAATTTAGCTGCTCTGAATCCTTGAAGCACAGGCAATTTTGGAGGATTTGGGGATAGCAGTGATGTTGGAGGGCCATTATAGGAGGATTTGACGTATTCAATGATCCCATTATGTTCTTGTGGAAGGATTTGTGCATTAAAATTATTGAAATTAATTCTATAGAACATAACCAAAGTGAAAAAGAAAATTTGTGCAGGTAAACAATGCAGCTGTTCTTGGTGTTAAAGTGGATAGCAATGCTCTTGATTCTTTGGCTGATCACGTGGTGAGCCGACCTTTGAATAGTTATTTCTCTGCTACAAAGTTTAGACGCTAGTGTATTCCTCTATAGTCTTATGCTAATATCAAATGCCATGCAATGTCTTTGGAAGCCTGAACTTGTTGGCTATTTTTCAAAGAGCAAATAAGTAACTACAACTTTGTTGCCGACCCGTATATGCAGCCAGGAGGATACATTAATTGGAATGAGGTTTCGACTCAAGCTCATGATTTGGCGGAAGAATGCTTAAAAACAAACTACTACGGACCAAAAAGCACAACTGAAGCATTTGCCCCCCTTCTCAAATTGTCTGATTCAGGAAGAGTTGTTAACGTTTCCTCCTCATCTGGGAAGCTAAAGGTAATCAACCTAACTTGTAAAAGCAAACATTTTGCTCCAGTCCAAGATTAATGTAACTGTGTTTTCTTTTTTCTTTTTCTTTTTTTTGGTGGTGCAGTTCGTAGCGAATGATTGGGCACAAACAATACTAAGCGATGCAGATTGCCTTACTGAAGACAGGATTGATGAAGTACTGAATGAGTTTCTGAAAGATTTCAAAGAGGGTTTTCTGAATGCCAAAGGCTGGCCTTCTTTTCTGTCTGCTTATACATTATCAAAAGCTGCCTTAAATGCCTACACGAGGATTGTGGCTAAGAAGTATCCTGAGTTGACGATCAACTGTGTCTGCCCAGGCTATGTTAAAACTGATATGAATTACCATAGAGGCGTCTTATCCTCAGAAGAAGGTGCAGAAAGTCCCGTATGGCTGGCCCTGTTGCCCCCCGGGGAAAAGCCATCCGGATTGTTCTTCTCCCAGAAAATTGTCTCACCTTTCTAGCGACTCAAAGACTCTTTACGTAATAATTATAGCTTTAGCAGACTTCTCTTGACTTTACCTGTAGGAAGGATACGTGACCAATTTGTAAGCCTTTCTGTCTGATTCGTGATGAGACATGGCTACTAATTACTGATAAAGACAAGTATCTTCCGCAGATATAAAATGCGTGGTGCAGAAATGGGCAGTTTAAGCCAAAGATTTTTACTGGACAAGAATCTTCAGGATATGCAAAATTACAATCCAATTTCCTCTGGGGTGGGCTCTGAGTTTGCTTCAGCACATTTCCGGACTGATATTTTTATATGTCACTCTCAGTTTGCATTATTGGCTGGAGTTTTGGGAGCTCCTGGACAGTGAACAGACCAAAACTTTGTGGAGTACAAGAAACAAAAAGTTGAGGTGGATATTTAGACGGGTCGGAGAGAGGGAAGGAAAAATCATTGGATGGACCATTGAAAAGTTGGATTCTGGGTACCATCGTTCACTGGTATTGACCTTCCACCGAAAGAGTCCGTGTGAAATTTGGAGTTTGGCGCTGTAAAAATGATTTTACAAACGTATCCTCGGAAAAGTGCTAACCAGCGCCATGACGCCATCCCTATTAGGCTCTGCAAAAATTGGAATTTGGCGCTGTAAAAATGATTTTACAAACGTATCCTCGGAAAAGTGCCAACGCCAGCCATGACGCTACTTGCAATAAACCTAGTCCTAAGTCCTAATAGTTAGCTATCAAGAGAGGTTTAAAATTCTACTTGAGTTTAGGTCAAGAAATCAAATTTCTTAGTTACACTATAAAAATTCAGAATTTTCTAAAAAATTTCATCAGCAGTGCGTAGAATAGTTAGTTACCAAGAGAACTTATAATAATAGTTGGCCAGACAACCAAGAGAGATTTAAAGTTCTACTTGGTTATAGATCAAGGAATCAAAATCCTTGACTTACATTCTAAAAATTCAAGATTTTTTAGAAAAATTTCGCCAGCGAGTGCGTAAGCACCTGTCTAAACTAGTAATGGTTCAATCGCTTTCGAATTTTCTCCTTGGCCCCTTTGGATCATCCTCTCCTCCTAATATAGAGTAGGAGCAGGTGTAAAATAAAATCTATCGTGTTCGCCAAAAAAAAAAAACTAAACTTGTAATAAGTATGTTATTTTTTTAAATCAGAAGTTTGGATGGTATCGATACAGATGACCATCACGGATCAAGATATGCGTCGAGAGGCAGATTATGAAAATATGGAGGTAATTATATATTGTCGATCAAACACAATTCTTACATCAACAACTGTACTTAACAACTGAGCTAATATTTATCGAACTTATAATTAATACTACCAGACTTTGCTTTGTGTTACCCTATGATGTCCTCATGCTGTGCGGGAAAGACTATTGTAATTTTGTCATGTTAATGTGATTGTTGTATTTGTTATATTATTTGTTACAATTACATTATGACAATAAATATATTGTATTGTTGTTGATACGAACCTATCAAGATGGATTGAACTGGTATCTCACACAATCTCGGATCTGGACGAAGAATTTAGTTGAATTTGCGGAATAACCCTTGACCCTTCTAAATCACGAGATTATGGATTAAGATGAATCTTAACCCACAACCTAATAATTTAGCAAATTAGAGTTTGAATGTAGAAGACGCTACAACCACGTGTGTTTCTTAGTTGATAAGTCGATGAACACTTAAGAATCTCTCAAGTATTCAAGTTGGATTTCTTAGACAAGGGAGTTGCTAACACCCAAGTGTTGTTGGAAAAATTCCTTTCTTAGCTCGTAAGAAACAACGTTTATGACTTAAGGCTTATTTATAACCTTTACAAGATTCAAAAATCCTAATCAAACTAGAACTCACGTAACTAGTTTCTAAAAACCCTAAATCGGCTCCATCTATGGCCAACATGACCTTAGCTGTTTTATTTTATTCCATTAAATTAACGACTTAATTAACTCCAAACTAACTCTAATTAATCAACTGATCATTGCTGGAAACAAAATAAACAAACGACATAAGGAATTTAAAACACAAAACAGATTCGGATCACATGTCAACTCGATTGCACTTCAACCACCATCACTAGACTCAATGACTTGAATAAGAGTATGAAGCGTTATATCTTCAAGTTCAAGCCCTTGAATCGCTCTTTTAAGCTTCTTAGTTCAACTTGAACTTCAGTTTAGTTGAATAGCATTGAGCCCTTTTTTTAGGTCTTCATTAGTTGTATTTGTGAAAAAAAATGGATGGAGCTAAATCCACACCTTCACAATCTAAATCCATACGTTTATAACTAAGTTGACCAAAAAGCCATAGCATTAACCGAACTTAGTAGAAACCCTTTAAATAAAAAATTAGCCTTTTTTTGAATGCTGTTAATTTACATAAAAAATTAGCCATAGCATTAACCGAACTTAGTAGAAACCCTTTAAATAAAAAATTAGCCTTTTTTGTGAAAGCAAATGCTGTTAATTTGGATTTAAAATTTACATCATTATGAATGATCTTAAAATTTTTGACTTTTTCATTCGTTTTGATGGCATTTGGTTTTTCCTTTTAATTGGTTTTTTTAATCTCTTTTTATCATGCAAGAGAAGATGAGATATTTTTTTAAAATTGTGTTAAGAAAATGTTTTTATCTTTTCGGCATGTTGCACTTCAAAGTTGATTGAAGTATAATTTTAGAAAATACTAACGGATCAATGTATAATTAGGATGAGGGTATCAAATAATTTCAATTAATTAAAACTCGTAATTGATTTTTTTAAACACGAGAATGACAAGTTTTATGTTGAAATAAGTTTTTATAAAGTTAATATGGGCTTTATTGTCATTTTAAAGCTAGGAAGTCTATAAAGTCTATAAATAGTTTTTATAGACTGAGGTGTGGATTTCATCCTACTGGGTAAAACTTGGGTCCTGTACCCGCTCTTGAGGGTATATACTATATAAACACATGCTTGTGAAGTAGAGGCTTAATTATAGGAACTGCTTGGCCAAAAAAAAAAAAAGAAAAAAAATCTAGATTCCTCGTACCAGCCATGACAGAAGCAAAGAGGTACTTCTACGTGCTTACATTTAAATTCTTGCTTTCAATAAATTTTCTTGGCCAAAGTATTTTGATGAGGCCTCTATTTTTTGGCATTTTTGCTCTGTTTTTGGGGCAGGTATGCAATTGTGACCGGGGCAAACAAAGGGATAGGATTTGAGGTGTGCAGGCACTTAGCTTCTAAAGGAATCACTGTGGTTCTGACTGCCAGGGATGAGAAGAGGGGACTCGATGCTCTTCACAAGCTCAAATTCTCTGATGGTCTTTCTGCTGATCGTTTGCTATTTCATCAGCTTGATGTGGCAGATTCGTCTAGCGTTGCTTCCCTTGCTCAATTCATCAAGACTCACTTTGGAAGGCTTGATATCTTGGTATGACAGACTAACTCCAATTCCAATATCTGACTTTTTGATTTTCTGTAAAACCTGATTCCCCTTTGGTGACAAGATGGGCATAAGTAGATAATTTCACCCAATGCCAAATTCAGCATCTTGTAACTGCTCATGCATGGCTTTTCTTTTGTTTTATCGATCAGGTGAATAATGCAGGAATTATTGGAGCTGATATAGACTCTGACGCTTTTAAAGCTGCGATTGCAGCTGGTGCTGTTGAAGAGGTAAACTTGGATTTTACCTTTAAATCATCAAGATTCTGGTCCTCTTTCAATTTCCCAAAATCTCCTGCTTTTTCCTCCTTATGGAGATCATGTTCTTTGTCCTTTTCTTTTCCTGTCTCATCTTGCTAGTTAAGATTCTCAGGAATTAGTTGCAAAATATGATTTTTATAGCTTTCAATGTGTCAATAAACCTGCTCTTTTATAGGTGTCCTTGTAATACCTGAACGTTTTCCTTCGTTTTGCCCAATGCAGGAACGAGCTAATAAAGTTGACTGGAGCAGTTCGATCAATGACACTCATGAATTGGCAGTACAATGCTTCCAAACAAACTATTATGGTGCCAAAAGAATGATTGAAGCCTTTGTTCCTCTTCTCCAATTATCTCAATCACCAAGAGTTGTCAACGTTTCCTCAGGCGCGGGAAAGCTAAAGGTAGATATCTGCTTGTAATTGTATTTCTTCGAGTACGTAGATTCTTCATTGTTGTGTGCCGGGCAGTAACCTTGGCACAAAAATTTAAAAGAACCAACGATGCTGCTTAACAGCATACAGATGCCTTGGACATAATTCTGGATCCATGCATCGAGTTCTCTGATGACCTCAGGATTTTAACTCTGTTCTGAAGCAAGCCACCCCGGTTCCCAATTTAAAATCTTTTATCTTCCAGATTTTGATAAACCACAGATAGTGGGATTTGACATGCTATAGGAACTACTCCTCGACAACTCGGCCGAGTCGTCACTGTCTCAGACCCTCCCGATACGATATCGGAACGATACGATTTCGAGATATTTGACTTGTCAAGAAGTCACTGTGAAGGGTTGAGACGGTCGAGTCACACCGAATCATTTAGAATCAACTCAAATTTTTATTATTTTTACTAATTTTTAAATTATTTTTATTTATCATATTTTTTACAATTTTTTGAATATTAAATATTTCAAAAATTTGCCTCTCATCGAAATCGCGACTAATATGCCGAAACCGATGTGGAACGGTTCGGGCCGCGATCACAACAGCCACTGCGACCGACCGCGACTTTGAACTATGATAGGAAGTTCAAATTCACGAAAACATTGAGCAAATGGACATCTAGAAGTTACATTAACTAGAGATTTCTGATTTCAATTGACAAGTTTCTCAATAAAGTATCCATTTCTTAGGGAAAACTGTAAGTCCCATAAACAGCTTACATAAAGTTTGCTCAATTTTCTTCAGAATATACCCAGTGAATGGGCCAGAGGGATATTCACTGATGTCGATAACCTTACGGATGAGAGAGTGGATGAGGTGCTCAATCAATACCTGAAAGACTTAAAAGAAGGTTCCAAAGAAGCCAAAGGCTGGCCTTCATTCCTGTCTGCGTATACAGTCTCGAAAGCAGCCATGAATGCATACACAATTGTTGTCGCAAAGAAGCATCCCAACATCAAGATCAATAGTGTCTGTCCTGGTTTTGTCAAAACGGATATAAACTTCGAATCCGGCACATTGACTGTAGAAGAAGGTGCTGACAGTATTGTGAGGCTGGCTCTGCTGCCTGATGATGGTCCTTCTGGCTTGTTCTTCATTCGCAGTGAAATATCACCTCTTGGATAGAGATAATCCTTCTCATCTCTTTGCATTCATGTGTAGATCATCCCTACCGGGCCATAGATCTATGCAACATTGTGATATTTTTCTTGCAACTTAGACTACAAAATCACCAAAGAATAATGTTTTGAATCCTTTGTTTTGATGAAGAAATCATATATGAGCTTCATTGGTCGTCATGCAACAATTAATGTTGTCAAGATCTTCTCTTCTCAACTAATTTAGCCATACCTGTGCTAAAGATCTAGACAGACTTGGAACCCTATGTTTTTACTATTGGACCATCTTTATTCGGTTTACGCTTTATACTTTTCCTATCAAATTCTGCTCTCAAAGAAGGGAACAAGAAAATCAGGTAGAAGGATATGCTTAAACACTACTATTTGCAGGTTGCATAATTATTTCAGTTTGATTTATTGGTGGAATATTATGTAATTTGACATTGTGGTTTTTGAATTCTGTCTCTTTTCTATGTAGCTTAATGGTAAACAAATCCCATCTTATCAGAAGCCAACTCCGAAGTGAGAAAAAGAAAAGATTGTCAAGAAGCTAAAATAATACATTTGACCAGCCTCCCTCCAAGCCTTCCCCTACCCCCCCCCCCCCCCAAAAAAAAAAAAAAAAACCAAAGACATCTTAAGAATATGTGAAAAGCAAGCATGACAATGTACTTACATTATAAACCCATATTCTTATAAAATTGAGCAATTTGTTGACAAGACTAGGCAATCTTGGAATGCTGTAAGAGAATTTAATGGTGCTAAAATAGGATTTTGTGTCAACAAACTTGACAGTTGTTTTAATCGTGGCCCTAAAAATCTTAGCTAATTGCAACTAGATTCTTCAAGAAACTGCACAAATTTAAAGTTTCACCATCCACAATGGATCCATGAATCCCTTTACTATTCACCTGAAATCATTATTAATGGAAAAAAGATTATAAATAAACAAGGAGAATGTTAAAGTAACAGTGGAAAAAATAAAAAAAATAAAAAAAAAACTGTTAAAAAAGTAGAACAAACAATGAAAATTTTATTGGATGCTACAGTCCAATATTTATGCACTTGTTTTGTTTATGAGCGGATCCTTTATACGTGACGTTCCAAATTTCTGATACGTTAAAAGAATATTAGGAGAAGTACCAGATTAACAATTAAAAATAAGGGAGAATTGTAATTTTAGGCCTCAATCTATAGTGTATGCCCGAAATTATCCCCAATCTATTTCGAAATCAATTTTGGTCCCCAATCTATTCAATTTTGTGCTAAAGCGGACAATTGACGGAATCTCTTCAATTTCAATCGGAACTAAATCACGTGAGATCACATGCCGGCACCTAAAACCCCTTTTTCAATTTTTTTAATTTCTAAAACACGTTTTTTCTAGTGGTTTGGCTTTTGGCATGGACACTCATGTCCCTTCAGCCAGATCAATCTCCTCCTCGCCAATTCTTTTTCAATCAAAACTCTGAATTCGAGATCCCAAGGCCAAACCCACCACCCGTTGTGCTAGGCGAAAACCAAGGCAAGATCTCCTTGGTGCATCCAATTCAGCTCAAGCTTTCTCTAGCACCTCGGGATGGTTGAGCAAAAGAGACAAGGCCCATTCTATAGTCACCGATGAAGTGTCTGTTCCAACTATAAGCATGACCTACTAATAATATACTAGTGGTTCAATTGAATGCTCATTCTAGTTCAATGGTGAAGAATGATTAATAGGGAAAGAATATACTTACTAGTATAATCCCTTTGATGATTTGGTCCGTATAATCCCTTTGATTTCCAATTATTATCATCCACTCTTCTCTCTCGGCTGCTTGCTTGCTTGCCTGCTTATGAAGTAGTACTGCTGCTGCTCCTGTTGTTTGTGCAAGAGAGTTGAACTGGGTCCGTCTCTCGCGTTGATTGCAGATTATCTCCATTACTAATGGAGGCAAGAACGAGACTTGGACTTGGAGGCCAAGCTTACTCGTGCTATGGGTTCTGGGAATTTGAAGGCGGCGGCCAACATGAGGAGTAATTTGGATCGTGAGATTACCCTTTTCATGTCTTTGTTTAATAAGACAAAAGGCAAGAGAAAGCTGAAAATATATTAAAAAACGTGTTTTAGAAATTAAAAAATTGAAAAAGGAGGTTTAGGCGCCGGCACATGATCTCACGTGACTTAGTTCCGTTGAAATTGAAGAGATTCCGTCAATTGTCTACTTTAGCGCAAAATTGAATAGATTGGGGACCAAAATTGATTTTCGAAATAGATTGGGGATAATTCCGCACATACACTATAGATTGGGGATCAAAATTACAATTCTCCCTAAAAATAAAGGGAAACAATCGAATTGGAGGAAACCATCGGAAATGAACTGAATTTGTGAATGTTCCAACACTACCAAGATATCAAGCCACCTAAAACTGAATCCTGACAAATCTGCAAGGGAAGCAACGCTAGAAGAATCTGCCACTTCAAGCTGATGAAAGAGCAAATCATTATCAGAATAGCCATCAGACTGTTTGAGCTTCTCTTCTCATCTGTAGCAGTCAAGAAGGGAGATCATGCATGTCTTTGTTATCTGATCTTATTCTGGGTAGATATGCAGTTGTGACTGGAGCAAACAAAAGGGATAGGAAATGAGACATGCAGACAGTTGGCATCTTTTGTGCATTGCCGTTGGTTGCTACTGCATGCCATGAATGTGTGCTAGATAATGGTGGCAAAGATGTTTTGTAGGGAGAGTCAGGAGTTCAGTGTTATGACTCTTGAATTGCCAAATACTAGCACGTATGCATGGGAAATATATGGCATTAACAGGTGATGATCTTTTATAGGAAGCCGGAGTTCTTAATTTATTTTGATTCTTCGGTTGCCAGAAGCTAGCTATTGCAGGCAGGCATGGAAGTATTGCAGCATATTATACGCATGTACTATAATTCTACACATAAATGGTTGACAGCCGAGCCGACCATCTTCTAACTTTCGTTAAGTTACTTTTTAGTTGTGATGCATCTGCCGTTGCTTATGTTTGTCTCTTCTTCAAATGCAAAATGTAGGATAATCTTTTGATTCCCTTGGTTGCAAGCTGGCTGGTTATTTCACTGGTTCACTAATCACTACTCACCAGGACGACTGAAGTCGGAGAGGGGTTGTGGTTAGTATTTCCCCTTTAAAGAATGGAAAGTTTTGAAAAGATTCTTCATAAATCAAATTTTTGCCTCTGAAAATCCATTTACAGAGAACTTCACACTGCAAGTCCAGAGTTTAAATGCGTATAAAATTTGCCGTGCTACCCCCATCTATCGTTTTTTAGATACCCTTCTCCAGTAAACCAATTGAAGTGTAAATGATGCTGCCATCAAGTAGTGCATGACATTTAGAAGAAAGCCCTTGATTATTCTTGGTTAATTATTTAGGCATCATTAAAAGTCAGCCAAGTTTTAGGCATGCTAAACTGCATCTACACATGCGAGTTTAGCATAATATCATCTTGTTCTTCTGGCAAATTGATATAGCACTTCGGCCTAAAGATGAGTTGTCATAATAGGGGAAATCACTCGACATGCCCTATTACAATTCATTAGCAGTATGTTCATATCCAGAGAAATAAACTTGATTATACAAACCTGCATATCATATACATGAAGTCGCGAACAGAAGGTATTTAACATTTTTTGCATAAACCAGGAAATAACTGTTTATACTTAGGTAAGGAGTGTCTCAAATTTAACAGAGCAAATCATAGTCTTCATCTTCGAAAATAACATGGAACTAGTATGCCTAGAAAGTACATGTCTACAATTTAATCTTTGACCACAACAACTGTTTCTAAAGGATTCATTTTCATTCAAAAGATGTGACTTGGTTACTGGAAAAGAACAAGCCAGAAGGTCCATCATTGGACAGCAGAGCTAGCTTCACAGGACTTTCAGCACCTTCTTCTACAGGCAAAGTGCCAGTATTATAATTTATATCTGTTTTGACAAAGCCAGGACACACACAATTCACCTTGAAATTTGGGAATCTCTTGGCCAGAATTCTTGTGTATGCATTCAAGGCTGCTTTCGAGATGACATAAGCTAAAGGCCAGCCTTTGGCTTCTTGGTAACCCTCATTGAAGTCTTGCAGAAATTCCTTGACCACTTTATCAACCCTCTCTTCTGTAAGGTTTTCAGCATCGCCTAATGTTCTTTTAGCCCATCCATATTTTATACACTGAAACATGGTATGAAATGCATATAGGAGTTAGAATGCCGATAAACTAGAACTACAACAAGATTCTATATGATAATACTGTGTTACGTTCAGAAAATTAAACCAATTCTTACTGTAAACTCAGTTTAGAGTTCAAAGAACATTGAGTCTTTGACCGAGGAGACTCAAATATTCTGACTCACGATCGTTCTGAGAGTTATATTCAGTCACTGTTGAAATCCATACAGATGATAAATGCTATACTGATGATATCAGCTACTTATTTGCAAATGAATCTACGGGGAGAACTTTCATCTTACTTTCTCAAAATACATGCTCCCTCCTATTTGGAATAAATGTCCATATACATGAGCAAGTATATTGCCAAGTTCTGTACCTCTAACTTTCCCATGGATGAGGAAACACTGACAATCCTTGGTGATTCAGATAATTGGAGAAGAGGAACACAGGCTTCAACCATTCTTTTTGCACCATAATAGTTCGTTTGCAAGCATTCAACTGCCAACTCATATGTCTGGGTTGCTATCTCTTCAAAGTTAATTTCAGTTCCTGCTGCCTACATTGATGAAAACATAGAAGCCTACATAAACATAGAAGCGTCAAATTGGACACTTACTAAACGGAATTAGTGTATGAAACCCACAGACCCGCCCTCATTACCTGCAAGCATCCTCTTCAAAAAAGTATCACTTTAGAACAGGAATGCAGGAAACGAGCATGAGATGTGAAAAGTTAACAGAGAGGCAAAGTCTTCAGAAGTTCAACACTTCAATTTCTGGTTTAGTTGATTCTTCCCAATAGTGCGACTTACCTGCTGCTATCAAGAAATTAATGGGAAGCTAGCCAAATAACTAGTAGCCTTAGTAAATGTTTCCTGTCTGCTCATCTACTTGTTTGATCTTTTTTCTATTTTTAATTCTGAACGCCATGAATAATATTTTCAGTTTATTTCTCTTGTTTCTACCCTCAAATTGTGTACTGGTTCAGCACCAACTTATGTTACACAAAAACTTACAGCAGCAGCTCTTATAGCAGCCTCGTCTACGAGAGCTCCACCAATCCCTGCATTGTTCACCTGAAACAACAAAATTACAATTGAAACAAGGATATATGATTGTAGCATATAGAGATATTTTTAGTTGTGCCCTTTTTCAATTTGTAAATGTTTAGTAGTTGTCACAGGTTATCTCAAATAATAGGAACAAGGTTCCAATGTCTAATAGTACTTCACACTTCAAAGGAAGCAAATTAAGTTAAAAATCTTGCAAGAAACTTTGGAAAATGAACTAGATTTCCCACAATTCCTACCTATTTACATTCAAAAGTAAAATTTGACATCAAATATGTAAATTTCTGATCATACCAAGATATCAAGCCTTCCAAGCTCAGTGTTGATGAACTCAGCAAGCGAAGCAACACTAGATGAATCCCCCACATCAAGCTGATGGAAGAGCAGATTACCAGAAAGACCACCAGAATCTCTGAGCCTATGAAGAGCATCAAGCCCCCTCTTCTCATCTCTAGCAGTCAACACCACAGTGATCCCCTGAGAAGCTAACTGCCTGCATATCTCCAGTCCAATCCCTCTGTTTGCTCCTGTTACAACTGCACATCTTCAATGTAAACAAAAAAAAAAGGGTCAAAAAATTAAAAACTGTGGGATGACTATTAAATATGACTGTGTAATTAGTTTTCAAGACAAACCCGATATGCACTAAGCTCACAGGTATTAGGAGTTAAATACCTTTTCGGGCTGTTACCGATGCTTGCTTCAGCCATTAGTGGTGAATTAAGATGTGTTTCAGAGGAATCTCGATAATGTGTTTTACTCCTTCAAAAGGCTTGGAAATTTGGAAATGCCATTTCATTTTAACAGTTATTTAAATGGTTGCCAGGTTGTACTGTTGAGGATCTGATGAGCCAAATTATTAAATAATCCGAATCATTTGGCTCTGTCTAATTTTAACAATATCAAATGGGAGCCACTATTGAGCATTTTTTATTTCATTTTCTTGATTCGTTTCTATCATGCTTCAACCTGCTTCAACCACCTTCTCAAGTCAATTGCATCTGATCAAGAATCTTCTTTTAACTTTATATCTTATGTATGCATAGAATATAGTGACGAGGTTGCCATTTGCTTCCAAAGTAAATTACCTACTAGTTTATACACGTACACAAGCCACAAGAGTATTGGGGTTTCTGATCATACCAACATATCCAGGCGAATGCGGCAAGGGAGGCAACACTTCAAGAATTGCCTACTTCATGTTAATGAAAAAGCACAATATTATCAGAATTCAGAAAAGCCATTAGACCTTTGAGCTTGTGAAGAGCATTAAGTCCCTTCTCCTCTACTCTAACGGTTAACACCGCAATGATATCAAAAGAAGTAAACTCCCTGCATACCTACAATCCAATCTCTTTTTTAGCTTTTGTCAAAACTGCATATCTTCAAGAAAACCACCCCCACCCAAAGAAAAAGAAAAGGAAAAAAAAATAAGCAAATCACTAGGGAATGGCAAGCATGGAATTTGGACTTGCCCTTGGTTAGGTATTCAATTGCCAAATGCCAACCAGTATGCATGAAATTACGGCGTTGACTTGTTCAGAAATGGTAAGCTTATTCGTGCACTTAAGGCATCTATCCATCTGCCGTCCATTGGGCTCGATACATCTATGAATCTGTTGATATACAGATATATCATTTCACATTCTAAACAATCAGATCAGCTGGTAATTATATTTAACTAATCATGCCCGATGCCCATTTGATATTTCAGCATATTCTTACCTTAACAAGACAAGGAGGAAAGCAAGAAGAACAGTTGAAGTGGAAACAAGGAGTAACCAACGTCCATGGAAAAGGAAGTGAGACCAAACCATGCCTTTATTTTCTTAATACACTTCAGCAAAGGGTGCTGGACTCTTGATATGAATTTTTTGAAGAATCTTTTAGTTTGGTCCCCGTTTCCTTTTGCTCATACTAATGAAAACTTGACTCTTAAGAGATTCTGAACCCAAAAAAAAAAAAAAAAGCTTTCTAATTGTAGCACATTAGTCCTTCACTTTTAAATACTGGCTATGAAGTAGGACAAACAGGAAAGGGGAATAATGAACTGAACTTGAACAAAATGTATTACAGTACAGGCCCTGCCCATTTAATAAGAAAATATATGAGATTGCCTTCAGATGCTGCAATTATCTGTATCTGTTTCTATAAATAATCATTTTCATTCAAAAGATGACAATTCCCTGCGAATAAAAAACGCCCCAGAAGGACCATCATCGGGCAGTAAAGCTAGCATCAATGGAGCTCCAGCACCTTCTTCTACCGTCAATATGCCAGTATTGAAGTTTATATCTGTTTTCGCATAGCCGGGACAGACACAATTCACCCTGAAACTAGGGAACTTCTCAGCAGTAATCCTTGTGTAAGCATTCATACTCGCTTTGGCTAGGGTGTACGCTGTAGGCCAGTCATTGGCTTCAAGCAAGCCCTCTGTGAAGTCTGAAAGATATTCATTTAGTACCTCATCCACCCTCTCTTCTGTGAGGTTGTCAACATCCCTGAAGATTCCATTAGCCCATTCATTAGGTACGTTCTGAAACATGGTTGCAAATTGTTGAAGCCGCATTTGTTGACCTTCACGCGTTTATTGCTTCGTCCCACATCGGTAGAAGTCAAAGGAATTCTTCCTTTGATTTCCTATAAATAAGGGAGCCTCACGAAGGTTTAAACTCGCACCGCTCAAGAGAGTTATATGGGCTATTAGTTTCTTGAGTCATCAAGCCTATTTGTAGTCAAATATTTTAGGCTCCCTTCTTTTGTGTTTAGGAATATTTCCTAAACTTTTTATAAGTGTCTTTTGGCCTAGGAACCACTTTCCTACGATTTTTGTATTTTTTTTTCATAGTAGAAATATTGCTTCTCCTCCGTCCGTGGACGTAGGTCAATTTGATCGAACTACGTAAATCTTCTGTGTTTTTTATTTGCTTTGTTATTTTGTCTTTATTGGATTGTCACAACCCTTTTATATGGTCGGTTTTACCGCCTAATCATTATATGGTCGGTTTTACTGCCTAAGTATTATATGGTCGGTTATACCGCCTATTTTGTTCTAATTTTAATTTGTTTATTCTTGGACCAGCCCTAACAAACTGGTATCAGAGTTGGTTGATATATTTTGCAAGACAGGTTCATCTCGTGGGGCCCGTTCATCTGCTGGGGCTCATCCATTTTGTGGGGTCCGTTTATCTGTGGGGCCCGCTCACCTTGTGGGGTCTGTTCATCCTGTAGGACCCGCTTACCTTGTGGGGCCCCTCACCCTGTGGGGCCCACTCACCCTGTGGAGTCCGCTCACGAAACTTGCATTTTTTATCAGTTTTTTAAGACAAATTTCAAGTTACAGATTTTGTGGCAATAATGACGATAACAAAGGCGGTTGTCGAAAAATTCGACAGAAATGTCAACTTAGGCATGTGGCAGCTCAAGATGGAGGCCGTTTTTGTTCAAGACGGAATCGAGAACAAACCAAAAGATGTAAAGGATGCGGATTTCACCGATATGGATAAGAAGGCCAGATCCAGCATAATCTTAAATCTCTCCGATGAGGTATTGCGTGAGATAGCAACGGAGATTTCGGCCAAGGATATGTGAGATAAATTGAAAGCCTTGTATATGAAAAAAACAGTTGAGAATCGCCTATATTTGAAGCAGAGTTTGTATATGTTTCGGATGTTTGAAGGTACATCTATACTCTCCAATCTTGATAAATTTGATTCTATTATTATGGATTTAGAGAATATAGATTCGAAAATTGATGATGAAAATCAGACCCTATTACTTTTGTGTTCCCTTCTCCAGTCCCTTAAACATTTCCGTGATACTATGATTTATGGAAAGAAAATAATTTCGTATCGAAAAATTAAATCTGCATTAAAATCTAAAGGGCAGATAGATAAGGATATTACTGGGAAAACTAGTGGGAGTCAAGCTGATGGCTTGTTTATTCAGGGTAGATCTGAAAAGAGAAACACTGAAAATAGAAATAAACCCAAATCCAGAGATAAAAATGTGATGTGAAACTATTGTAAAAGGAAGGGTCATGTTATCTCTGATTGTTTTAAATTGAAAAATAAAGAAAAGCAAAAGGAGAAAAAGAGTGAGACCACCGAAACTAGTATTGCAGTAGATGAGAATGATGGAACCATTTTCTGTGCAACAGAAAATAAGTTTTAGGTTTAATAATGAGTGGATTTTAGATTCAGGTTGTTCATATTATATGTGTCGGACTGATTTTCAACATATGAATCAACTGAAGGTGAAGTTGTTTTAATGGACAACAACGCTGTTTGTAAAGTTGTTGGCAAAGGCACAATCCGAATTAAAATGTACGATGGCATTGTGAGAACGCTCACAGATGTTAGACATGTTCCAGATTTGAAGAAAAATCTCATCTCTTTGGGCACTCTTGAATCTATTGGGTGCAGATATTCAGGTGGAGATGGAGTTCTCAAAATCACTCGAGGTGCTCTTGTTGCTATGAAGGCACACAGATCTGTTACTTTATATATTTTGCAGGGATCTACTGTTACAGGTGCTTCTGCTGCTTCAACATTATCTTTGTCAGATATAGACATCATGTGCCCCAAACGCATATGCCATAATTTGGTGATGTCTGTATCTGACAAAGATGATGTTGAAACAGCAGCAGCACCTGTAACAGTAGATCCCTACAAAATATATAAAGTACCAGATCTGTGTACTTTCATAGCAACAAGAGCACCTCGAGTGATTTTGAGAATTCCATCTTCACTTGAATACCTGCACCCAATAGATTCAAGAGTGCCCAAAGAGATGAGATTTTTCTTCAAATCTGGAACATGTCTAACATCTGTGAGCGTCCTCACAATACCATCGTACATTTTAATCCGGATTGTGCCTTTGCCAACAACTTTACAAACAGCGTTGTTGTCGATTAAGACACCTCCACCTTCAGTTGATTCATATGTTGAAAACCAGTCCCTATTGGGACACATATGATATGAACAACCCGAATCTAAAATCCACTCATTGTTAGACCTAAAAATTATATTCTGTTGCACAGAAAATGGTTTCATCATTCTCATCTACTGCAATACTAGTCTTGGTGGTCTCACTCTTTTTCTCCTTTTGCTTTTCTTTATTTTTCAATTTAAAACAATCAGAGATAACATGACCATTCTTTTTACAATAGTTGCACATCACATTTTTATGTTTGGATTTGGATCTACTTCTATTTTCAGTGTTTCTCTTTTCAGATCTACCCTGAATAAACAAGCCATCGGTTTGACTCCCACTAGTTTTCCCAGTAATATCCATATCTATCTGCTCTTTAGATTTTAATACAAATTTAATTTCTCGATGCGAAATTGTTTTCTTTCCATAAATCATAGTATCACGGAAATACTTAAAGGATTGGGGAAGGGAACACAAAAGTAATAGGGCCTGATCTTCATCATCAATTTTCGAATCTATATTCTCTAAATTCATAATAAATGAATCGAATTTATCAAGATGGGAGAGTATAGATGTACCTTCAGACATCTGAAACATATACAAACTCTACTTCAAATATAGCCGATTTTTTACTGTTTTCTTCATATACAAGACTTTCAATTTATCCTACATAGCCTTGGCCGAAGTCTCCGTTACTACCTCACGCAATACCTCATTGGAAAGATTTAAGATTATGCTGGATCTGACCTTCTTATCCATATCGACGAAATCCGCACCCTTTACATCTTCTGGTTTGTTCTCGATTCCGTGAATCGCTGGATCAACTCCGTCTTGAACAAGAATGGCCTCCATCTTGAACTACCATATGCCGAAGTTGACATTCCTGTCGAATTTCTCGACAACCGTCTTTGTTATCGTCATTATTGCTGATAAGTGACTAATTTACGTAATAATTGTATGATATTTTATATTATTTTTAGTCACTTTAGTTATATTATTGGAAGAATATGAATCATTTTGGCTATAATTGGTGAAAACTGCTTTTAAGTGATTAAATGAGGTTTTTATCACTTTTTAGTGGATTTTGTGTATTTTGACAGTTTTGACACATTTTCGTATTTCGGCTATAACTTGAGCTACAATGATCGGATTGGGATGATTCTTGAACCCATTTGAAGATAAGAGATAGATCTACAACTTTGGTGAAGATATCTGAATCCAGTTTGAAAGTTTTCTAGGTCAAAAAGCCGAAGTACAGAGTCAATTGCTATTGGTCGAAACTGGAACAAGGCATGGAGCAGGCAAGGGTATTTCGGTCATATCTCAGCCTACACAGATCCAAATGAGGTGATTCTTGATGCATTGGAACGATAACTCAAAAGGCTACAACTTTCATGTTTTAGACATGAGCTGGTTCAGAATCTAACATCAAGAAAAGATCGGTTAAAGTTGAGCCAAAAACAGAGCAAGTGATCCACACTCGGATCCACTATTCATCCGAACCCTCGGCTGTTTCTGGGTTAGTGGATCCGAGGTACTGTAGCAACTCGGATCACTGTAGCAGCCCAGATTTACTGTAGCAATCCGGCCGGAACTTGGCCGGATTTGTGGCCGGATTCCTGGCCGGATTGTGGTCAGAGAAGGCTGCTTTTTACGCGGAAAACTCAATTTCACCTCCACCAACTCACATGTGATACTACACATGTGAGAAACATTCCCAGCTGTAAAAGGGAGATGTAATCCTCATTTCTTGACCACCTTTCATCATTAAAGAGCAAAATTCATTGCAACAAGAGGGAGGAGATAGAGCAGGAGGAGAAGGAAGTTCATAGCAGAAAAATAGGGAGAGACATACGGGAGAAGCTTGGAAGCTGCAGAAATGTAGCTCTTTCATCTCCCTAGTGTTAGTTTAGCTTAGTATAGAGTAGTGTAGCTCTTCCATTCTTGTTTATTATCTAGATTAGGATGAAGATGGAGGATGAAGAAGGCAAGGAAGAAAGCTCATGTGACAAGGGTTGTATTCCTTCCAAACTCTTTATCTTTTGTATTTGATTCCAAGTTTAGTTAATATACAAGTTTTGGATTTTGTGTTATTTATGTGTCTCTAAAGTTTATGCCTTGGGTTTGGTTGAACTGTCTATGATTGTTAGTGTTTATTATTTGGTTATTTGATTGCTATGATTTGAGCAAGTTATTTAGCACTTTGGCTTCTTAAATCATGATTAATCTGGTACCATTGATTGTGATTATCTAAAGTGTTGTTTCTGCAATGAAAATTGAGATTTAACACTAGTTCAAGAAGTGCTAAACATAGGGAGTACACTCACGAAAGTAGAGGTGCACTTATGTGATTTTTAGTGATTCATTTCATGTAATTTCATTGAAAAAATGAACTTGTAGCTAATTTCATAACCATGAAAATAGGTATGGATTAGTTATGAGTATAGTTGATTCACTACGAAAGTAGGTTTCACATGTTTAAGGAAATTACACCATAATTAGCCTAGATGTAGTACTCAAGGATCCAAAAATAGCACTTGCATGAGTAGTTAGGGATACCACAACCTAAGGAGCTTTCATTTGTTATTTTCTTGCATAAGTTCAGTAACTTTTACTAGTTATAATTCATTGATAGTCTAAATAATAGAGAAACTTTAGTAAGACCGGTAATTGTTCACTCTTCCCTGTGGGATCGACCCGATATATACCCTAAACTACTAGTTGATCTGTATACTTGCAGTGAACGGGTGTAATTCGGTATTTTTTAGCTTGCACGTATGTAAAATACCCGTCAATTGCCACAAATTCTGTAACTTGAAATTTGTCTCAAAAAACTGGTAAAAAATGCAAGTCTCGTGAGTGGGCCCCACAGCTTGAGTGGGCCCCACAGGGTGAGTGACCCCACAAGGTGAGCGGGCCCCATGGATAAACGGATCCCACAGGATGAGTCGGCCTCACAGGATGGACGGGCCCCACCAGATAAACCTGTCTTGCAAAATATATCGACCAACTTTGATACCAATTTGTTAGGACTAGCTCAGGAATAAACAAATTAAAGTTAGAACAAAATAGGCGGTATAACTGACCATATAATGATTAGGCGGTAAAATCGACCACATAAAAGGGTTGTGGCAACCCAATAAAAACAAAATAACAAAGCAAATAAAAGACACAGAAGATTTATGCGGTTCGATCAAATTGACCTACGTCCACGGGCGGAGGAAGAGTAATATTTCTACTATGAAAAAGAAATACAAAAGCCGTAGAAAAGTGATTTTTAGGCCAAAAGACACTTATAAAAGGTTTAGAAAATATTCCTAAATATAAAACAAGAGAGTTTAAAATATTTGACTACAAATGGGTTAGATGACTTAAGAAACTAATAACCCATATAACTCTCTTGAGTGGTGCGAGTTGAAACCTTCATAAGACTCCCTTATTTATAGGAAACCAAAGGAAGAATTCCTTTGACTTCTATCGATGTGGGACGAAGAAAAAAATGCGTGAAGGTCACCAAATTATGACATATGCTGTTGGGACACATAAGTGAAAAAAGTTTGAGCATACTGAGCAAAAGAGGACTTCTTTGTGGGCAAAATACTGAGCCATTGAAATTCTGTGAACAGTGTATTTTTGGAAAACAGAAAAGAGTCAGATTCAGTTCACCAGCAATTCACAAGATAAAAGGTACTCTTGATTACATTCATTCAGATCAATGGGGTCCGTCTCGTGCTCCTTCTAAAGTTGGTGCTAGGTACATGTTGACTTTCATTGATGATTATTCAAGAAAAGTTTGGGTATATTTTCTTAAGCATAAAATGATGTTTTCTTAACTTTCAAGCAATGAAAAGTTTTGATTGAAAAATAAACAAGAAAACATATTAAGCGGTTGAGAACAGATAATGGCATGAAATTTTGTGGAGGTGAATTTGGTAGATTTTGTAAAAATGAATGAATTATTCGGCATCACACCGTCAGGATGACGTCTTAATAAAATGATGTGGCCGAACGTATGAACAGAACGCTTTTAGAGAGAGTAAGATGTATGATCTCAAATGCAGGGTTGACAAATGACTTTTGGGTAGAGGCAATCAATGTGGCCTGTTATATTGTCAACCGTTCTCCTTCTGCATCTCTTGAGTTCAACACTCCTGAGAAAATTTGGTCAGATACTCCTGTTGCTTACTCAAATTTAAAAGTTTTTGGGTGTCCAGCATACATGCACGTAAATGATGAAAAATTAGACATTAGGGCTAAAAAATGTATTTTTCTTGGGTATGCTTTTCGAGTGAAAGGATATAGATTATGGTGTCCTGATCCCAAATCTCTAAAATTAGTAATCAGTAGAGATGTTACTTTTGATGAATTGTCTATGTTATCTTCCAAGAAGGAGTTTTCTAGTCCTTGTACTACTGATAGTACACAGAAGTAGGTGAAATTTGATATTGGCAGTTCTGGTTCTTCTCAGTCCAAATCTTCTATTCAGCAAGTGCCAGTAGATGCACCTTAATCTACTGTTGAAGATAGTTTAGAAGAAGAGGAGTATTCCATAACCAGAGATAGACAAAGGAGAGACATTCGACTACCACAAAGATAAGCAAATTTAGTTGCATATGCTTTGTCTGTTGCAAAAGAAAGATGCAGTTAGGGAGCCTTCCACCTATTCAGAAGCAGTTTCTTGTGATGATTCTGCAAAATGGTTGATTGCGATGAATGAAGAAATTGAATCTCTTCATCAGAATGAAACTTGGGTTCTTGTAAAGCCGCCATCAAATAAGAAAATAGTTGGTTGCAAGTGGGTTTTCAAGAAAAAGGAAAGTATTTCAAGGGTTGAAAATGCAAGGTATAAAGCACGATTAGTTGCAAAGGGATATAGTCAGATACAAAGTGTTGATTTTAATGAAATTTTTTCATCTGTTGTTAAACATAGCTCTATTCATATTTTACTTATTTTAGTTGCCATGTATGATTTGGAGTTAGAGCAACTTGATGTTAAAACTGCTTTCTTGCATGGCGAACTTGAAGAACAAATTTATATGAAGCAACCCCAGGGTTTTGAGATTGAAAGTAAGGAAAACCATGTTTGCTTATTGAAGAAATCCTTATATGAATTGAAACAATTTCCAAGACAATGGTATAAAATGTTTGATTCCTTTATGATGGGTCATGGTTATTCAAGGAGCATGTATGATAGTTGTGTTTACTTTCGAAAGTTAAATGATGATTCTTTCATTTATTTGCTGCTATATGTTGAAGACATGCCCATTGCTGTCAAGAATTTGTCAGAAATTCACACTTTGAAACTGCAGTTAAATAGTTAATTTGAAATGAAAGATTTAGGAGCAGCTAAGAAATTTCTTGACATGGGTATCAAGAGAGATCGAGGAGTAGGGAAGTTGTTCTTGACCCAAAAAAATTACCTTAAGAGAATCTTGGAGTGTTTTGGCATGAAAGATGCTAAACCAATATCTACTCCTCTTGTTAGTCATTTTTAGCTATCGACAGTGTTTTGAAAATCGGACCGGACTGGCCGGTTCGACGGTTGAACCGCGAACCAGCCATGGCACCGATCCTGTTCAATGCTAGGGTTGACTTTGTCAGAGAACCGATCAAAAACCGGTTGAACCGTGAAAACCACCGAACCGGATTTGAACCGGTGATTTCCAGTTTTATATATATATATTTATATATATATATATATTTTTTTTTTTTATTTTTTTTTTTGCGAAATGTAGATATCAAAATTCGAACTCAAGACCTTTGTAATAGAAAATCAATAAAGTAACCGTTGCATCATTACATCTTATTAGTTTTTTTGGATAACTTATTTATATAAAACAAATACTCATATTTTTTTTGTTCCATTTTTTTTACAAAATTTCATTTTCTCATGACTCTTTTTTTTTAACCTTCAACTCTCTCTCTCTCTCTGTATCATCTTTTCTTTTGTCACTCATTTTTAGTCAAACCTCTTTATTTTAAATTTATTGATGTTTTCTTCCATCTTTTAATTTTGTTTTTGTTCATTAAATTAAAAAAAGTTAAAAAATTTTATTTTTCTTTAACCCAAATTATTTAATGCCATAACCACTCACTTTTATCTTATTTTTTGTTTCTTATCAAATTTGCATTTCTATTTTCGATTCTCTTGACTTCCTTCGAACTCCAAACTTTCTTTCTTAAATTGTAATTTTTAAATTCCAAAATGTAAATTAAAATTTAAATTCACAATGTCTAAATTCTTATAGACGTGAATTTTGTATAATTTTAAAATATTGTGATATTTTTGTATTGGATTTAAGATTTTTTTGATAGATATAATTGAAATTGAGATGAAATTTATTTATTTTAACTTATAATTTAAAAAATTTATTTTTAAAAATCCAAGTTATTTCGAAAATAGTAAACTTTTCATCATATAAAGTATTAAATTATCCATTATGTCTTATTTTGTGCATATATATATTTATATAAATTATTTGTTTAAAAATTCATTTAACCGAGATTGAACCGGTCCGACCGGTTAAACATCGACCCTTTCATTTCATCGGTTCAATTAACGGTCCTATTTTTAAAACATTGACTATCGGCTGCTCAATCACCACAATCAGATGAAGAGAAAGATTATATGGCACGGATTCCTTATTCCAGTACAGTCGGCAGTGTTATGTATGCAATAGTTTGTACTCGTCCAGATATTACACAAGCAGCTAGTGTTGTTAGCAGATATATATTTTGCCCGGGTAAAACACATTGGCAGACTGTGAAGTGGATTCTCCGATACTTGCGAGGTACTTCAAATGCATGTTTGGAGTTTGAAAGAAATAATAACACTTTGGTTGGTTTTGTAGACTCAAATTACGCCGGAGATCTTGACAAAAGAAGATCACTCTTAGGTTATGTATTTTGCATTGGCGGTTGTACTGTTAGTTGGAAAGTTACTCTACAACCTGTCGTAGTTTTGTCTACTACAGAAGCAGAATATATGGTTGTGACCAAGGCAATCAAAGAAACGTTGTGGTTGAAGAGTTTGTTTAGCGAGTTTAGTCTACATCAAGGTGTTACGACAGGTTGTTCATTATTCGTGATATGGCCCGTTGGGGCTTATATGGAGAAGGTGGAACAAGTTTATACTCTCTCGATGTTGGGGACTCATCAAGGTGGAGATTTGTTGAAGTCGCATTTGTAGACCTTCACGCGTTTTTTGCTTCGTCCCACATCGGTAGAAGCCAAATGAATTCTTCCTTTGGTTTCCTATAAATAAGGGAGCCTTATGAAGGTTTCAACTCGCACCACTCAAGAGAACATTATATGGACTATTAGTTTCTTGGGTCATCTAGCCCATTTATAGTCAAATATTTTAGACTCTTATTTTGAGTTTATGAACATTTTCTAAACCTTTTATAAGTGTCATTTTGGCCTAAGAACCACTTTCCTACGGCTTTTGTATTTCTTCTTCATAGTAAAAATATTGTTCCTCCCTCGCCCATGGACGTAGGTCAATTTGACCGAACCACGTAAATCTTTTGTGTCTTTTATTTGCTTTATTATTTGTTTTTATTGGGTTGCCACAACCCCTTTATATGGTCGATTTTACCGCCTAATTGTTATATGGCTGGTGTCTACCGCATAATCATTATATGATCGGTTATACCGCCTATTTTGTTCTAACTTTAGTTTGTTTATTCCTGGGCCAGTCATAACACAAATGAGAGTTAATTGTTTACATGAGTTGCAAATTACCAGTAAAGCCAAACCAATTGTCATATTTGATACTATCCAGGCTGAAGACAATCTGTTTTGGCAATTAATTTTCATCTTCACCAAATGCAAAGATTCTGAGGAGAGACTTCGAATCGTTAGTTGAAGAGACCTAGACGTTCAACTCTCAATGGTTTTGGCAGGTTATCAGGGGATCACTGCTGAACCCCGATGATGACAATCAGTAGTAAACAACCAACTATATTTTTGTTTGTACAACTGAAACTTTCTGGAATAGCTTTATCAAACTCTGTTAGGAGAATATTTCATTCAGTTTCAGAAGAAGACAGGCCAGTGAAAAACAAAGTTCACTAATTCTAGAGTCTCTGTGCCAAAATTCAACTACTGAAAGGTCAAAACTCATAAAGGTAACTCAATTGGCACAGAATTGTGTCAATCAAGCAGTTCCAGTAATTTTCAGCCTAGCTTATCATTAATTGGATCGGTAACAATATTTTTATCAAGCTCAATAACACTCTCTTCCATGATGAAAAATCATACATTCAAAGAATTACATATTGACAAGTACGATACCCTTAACATACCCAGGTTTGAGGATACATTCACAATTCTTGGTGATGGAGATAGTTGGAGAAGCGGGAGGAAGGCTTCAACCATTCTTTTTGCACCATAGTAGTTTATTTGCAAGCATTCTGCTGATAAATCATATGTCTCCGTGATTATCTCCTTCCAGTCACGTCAGCTCCCCCTGTCTTCATTGGTCAATGTTCATTAATGAGGATGAATATATCACAATCCACATAACCCTCAAGGAAGGTAGCAGGAGATAGTAGCAGTTACCGAAAGCTCACAACAAACTTAAATAGAGATGCTTAACCATTCTAGTTTGATGTGAGGGAATATCAAAAAAGTTGTCAAAAGCTAGCCCAGTAAGGATCTTTTATGCTTTTTTCCAAAGTTCTAATAATTTTTTTAAAAAAAAATGCTATTTTGAAGCCAATTGCAAACTCGATCTTAGCTAATTTTAATTTACACAAAAAACTTACTACAGCCTTTTTAAAAGCTTCACTATCAACAATAGATCCCCCAACCCCAGCATTATTCACCTGAAACAAGAAAGATGTAGACATGTATCAGCTTAAAACAAACTTGTATTTTGTAAACTATTACAGGATTCTAATAGTTCCATAGCATTTAAAAGAAGAGGAAACTGTTTCCACACAGTAGCTAAATATATGCCTAACTATTCAATGGTCATCAAAAGAGCAAGAAATTATCAAACTGGGAACTTCAGTTAAACTGAAGTTACTCAACATAATTACAGAGAAACTCTGTTGAAAATGAACTGATGATACTGTATAGAAATGGGATTTCTGATGATACCAAGATGTCAAGCCTTCCAAACCGAGCCTTGATGAATTCAGCAATGGAAGCAACGCTAGATGGTTCTGCAACGTCAAGCTGATGAAAGAGAAGATCACTAGAAAGAGCATCAGTCCCTTTGAGTTTGTGAAAAGAATCAAGTCCCCGCCTCTCATCTCTGGCATTCAACACCACAGTGATTTCTTGAGAAGCTAACTGCCTGCATATCTCAAATCCTATTCCTTTGTTTGCCTCTATCACAACTGCATACCTATCAAAAATGAAAATGGTCTCTAGGTCACTCTGGTTAGATGGTTAACAAAGATGGTTGGTTGTTTGGTACTATACTAGCTAGCTTGGTTCTTCCCAAAGACGGCATAATGTGCAAAAATGTAGGTTGTAATTTCAGTACCTTTACTAGATATTCACGGGAGATTCTGCCATTGATTACTCTTCACTTCAGAAGAGGCAACAAAATTTTTGGGAGGAGTCGATCTCTGAGGTTGCTTTGTTCAGTTTTTGATATGTTTCTTCAATTGCCAATGAATACGCATGGAATTGATTAAACTATGGGCAAATTACATTTTACCCCCTGTGGTCTAGCATTTTTTACATAACCCCCTATAGTTTTAAAAGTCATACATAACCCCCTCATGATTTGGATTAAAGTGCCAAAGTGAAGGAAATAGTCATTCGCAACGGAACTTCTAAAAATATGGAAATTACCCTTATAAATGCATGACACACTAATCCCATATGATTTTTATATTTTACTAAATAACCCCCTTATAGTTTAATATTTTACCATATAACCCTCTTATGATTTAATATTTTACCATATAACCCCCTTATGATTTTCAAAATATACACATAACCCCCCTTGGTTAATAAATAATTTTCAACTTTACATAAGGGTATTTTTGACATTTTAGATGACTCCTTTACGAATGATCATTCCCGTCATTTTGACACTTTAATCCAAACCATAAGAGGTTATATATAGCTTTTGAAACCATAGGGGGTTATGTAAAAAAATACTAAATCACAGGGGGGTAAAGTGGAATTTGCCCTTAAACTATCCACTACTGAAATTAATTAAGCCTTTTTCTTTAGGAAAAATCACAAAAGCTCCTCCTAAAGTTTATGATATTTTTCACTTTACTCCCTAATGTTATCTTTTCGACATTTTATCCTGACAATCCAGCTCAGCAAATGATCCGTTGAAACATTGGGGCGGACAAAACTTCGCCTATTTAAAATGTTCAAATTTTTTGACGAAAATGCCCTCATCCATTGTATACAAATAGAAGTCTTCCTTTCAAAACCAAAACTTTTTTTGTTATCATTTCATTATTCATCAAAGATTTTAAACTTCCAAGTCCTACATTTGCAACCGAAAAAGGGAAAATTTGTCAAAACTTATTCAAATTCATTTTGTTGCTCTTCATCTAGATGTTGTCTACCACAACATGTACAAGAACCAAGCTAAGAAACTTGTGGATACAATAAATTACCACCTTTTAGATGATCATGGATATTGAAAAATCTCAAAACGAGATTTTTTGGATGCTCAAATTAGAAGATATGATTTTTACGATAAATTAATGCCTTTTTAACTTCTAGAAAAAATATTCAAAATATTTTTTATTTTGTTTTAGAATCATCAAGCATATGATTATTTTAAATGGGTAGATCCCAAATTTTGTGACAATGGAAGAGAATTTTGTGCTATATTATAATCAAGAATTGTGGAGAAAAAAGAGAAACTAAAGTAGTTAAAGGGAATATGGAAAATTGGAAGCGAAACATGAAGGATTGAAGCAAAAATATGAAGTTGTACTAATTGAAAATGCTATTTTGCAAGTTGAGAAACAAGATCTGCAACAAGGGGTGACCAATATGAAGTTGTACAAATTTTCTTATTTTTTCTTTGCAAACACACTAGCAAGAGTCGGCCTTTTTCTTTTGGGAATGGTATTTTTGAGAAAAAAATATTACTTGAACCGAATTCATAGGCAATTTTGTTCATTCATTATTTTACCTAGAATACAATTGTCATTTAGCTTTTAATCGTCAGTCATTACTACTTTAATGCTTTGACTACCAGTCAAGGAGATAAAGTACCAAAAAAATAATATTAGAAGGTAAAGTAAAAAACATCACAAATCTTAGTAGGAGTTTTCGTGATTTTCCCTTTTCTTTATGGGAAATGATTGAGAGATTTGGTGGTATAGCATCAAAATTTCGTGTACGTTTCACTAAGGGAATAGCTTTTCAAAAATGTCCGTTCAAAATTTCATGTACGTTTCACTACATGCCCCTAAAAGAAAAAAAAATACTGAACTAGGGCATACATGGAAAGCAAATAATTAGTATTTATTTAAAAAAATATCCGTACAAAATTTTGTGTACATTTTGCTACTTGTCCCCTGAAATAAAAGGAATAAGGGCATATATGTAAAGCAAAACCATAATTATTATCTCATCCTATTGAAAGTGTCATACTTTTCATTTTGAAACATTTATCAAGAAAGTCCAAATACATTTTAATATCTTCTTTTAATATAGTCTCGTCTTCCAATATAATCCATCCCTTTAATCATATTCATATTAATGTTCAAATCCAAATTTTGAATTTATGAAGGTAAAATTGAAAAGAAAAATATAAACATCACAATTAAAATACTATTCTTAATAAGTTGGATTCTCGAAAACATTACAAAGTGGGATAATTGTAGAAACCTCCCTTGAGGTTTCTGATAATTGCACTCACCTCCTTTAAGATTTTGAAAAAAGCACTAACTTCCCCTAACATAAATTTGGAGCCTATAACTAACATAAAATGAGGTGAATTTACTTCTATATTCTAAGAGTTTAAGGTTGTTAGTAAATAAATATGAGGCAAAAAATATTAGGACAATAAACAAGTTCATGACAACTGATTAAACAAAATTAATGATTTTTTCTTCTCTGATTATGCACTACAAGTGTTCGCCACAAAATGGTGCCAATCGATACTCCAACATAGTGCCATTTTGTAAATGACAGCACTTGAGAGGACAATCCAAATCATATATTATTTGCATAGAAGAGAAGCAGAAGTAAGAAAAATGCAAGGGAAAGAAACCTCCAAATAAGGTTCCATAAGAGAATAAATTCTAATGGCTTTTGTTGAGTTCACTTCATTTTAATCATTCATGAAACGGAAGGAGGAAAAAAGTAGAAATAAAGGTACAATAGCAATAGGCATCAAAATAATTCTTAGATTGATGATAAGTAGTGTGTTGACTATGGCATTTGGTTGTTCTGATTTTGCCATTTTGGTGAATTCCATGATTTTTCTCAGTGGCTTGATGAAGCCATTCTTTTGGCACCACTACTTCATTTTTAACTAGCAAACTAATAGCAAAAAAATGCTGTTATTGATTTTTGAAAAGTTTCTATGCATATTAGTGGAGGAAAGTTTTTTGAGTTAGTTGTATACTTTATATGTTTTAGAATTTCAAATTTCTAAACGTATGTTCGTTCCTTTTTGCAGTTGTTATGTTCCACTTATTCTCTTTGCATTTATATTTCCTTGAATTTCACTAATTGTTTCCAACTTTTAATATTTTCCATTCTTTTACTAGCACAAACTCACAAGAGGTAAAAAGGGTACAAATTGAACAAAATTATTATCTAACTTCTCAAAAGACTTTTTTAATGGTACTTTCTCTGACATGGACTGAATTTGCTATTAAAATATTAAGTTCAAGGGAGGTTAGTGCTATTTTCGAAACCTCAAGGGAGGTGAGTGCAACTATTAAAAACTTCAAGGGAGGTTTCTGCAATCATCCCTTACAAAAATGACAAGTTGAATCCTCGAAACATTATAAAAAGGATAAATGCTACAGGGACCATCCGCTCCCATGCCTCGTGAATATGTCGTAGTAAATAAATGGTGCTAGCGATTAATAGTGGTCTCAACTCTCAAGGGCATAGGTTGGTGCATTTTAGCTACAGTTGTATACTTGTATTTCTGTTCTCTCAGGTTTCCAAGGTCTCCCAAATAGTACCTAGAAATAAGTGCAACATACGGTGGTGTGGTAAAGTTTGGCAATAAGAATGAAGAATTTGACCACACCCCGTATGTTGCCAAATGCCCCATTTGATCTGCCAGCATATGCTTACCTTATCAAGACTAGGAAGAAAACAAGAACAGCTGAATGTGGAATGGAAACAATGACTAACTGACATCCCTGGAAAGAAAGTGACAATATTGTAACCATGACTTATGTTGGGCTCTTGAATTTAAAATTTTTGAGAATCTCTTGGTTCGGTCCTTTCTTCCCTAAGCTCGTTGTGATGAAAACTTGACTCCAGCAGAAGTTGAAAAAAAAAAAAACTGCTGCATTGTCCTATTTCTTGCTTGCACCAATTTAAGTATTTTAAGCAATGCTTCCTAGCTGTAGCACATTCAGTCCTTTGCTTTTAAAAAAGTGGTTACGAGATAGGAGAAACAGGAAAGCGGAATACTGAACTTGAAATTCAACAAAATGTATTACAATATACTACGTGATAACCATTTAATAAGAAACTATATTAGATTGCCTTCAGATGCTGCAGTTATCTGTTTCAGTATCCATGAATGATCATTTTCATTCAAAAGATGACAATCCCTTGCGGAAAAAGAACACGCCAGAAGGACCATCATCGGGCAGTAAAGCTAGCATCACTGGAGATTCAGCACCTTCTTCTACCGTCAATATGCCACAATTGAAGGTTATATCTGTTTTCACATAGCCGGGACAGACACAATTCACCTTGAACCTAGGAAACTTTCCAGCAACAATTCTTGTGTAAGCATTCATGCTCGCTTTTGCTAGGGTGTACGCTACAGGCCAGTCGTTGGCTTCAAGCAAGCCCTCTTTGAAGTCTTTGAGATATTCATTTAGTACCTCATCCACCCTCTCTTCTGTGAGGTTATCAACATCCCTGAAGATTCCTTTAGCCCATTCATTAGGTACGTTCTGAAACATGGTTACAAATGAGAGTTAATTGTTTACATGAGTTGCAAATTACCAGTAAAGCCAAACCAATAGTCATATTTGATACTCTACAGGCTGAAGGCAAGCTGTTTTGGCAATTAATTTTTATAGACACTTCACCAAATGGAAAGATTCTATGGAGAGGCTTGAAACCATTAGTTTGAGAGGCTGGGACATTCAAATCTTAATGGTTTTTCAGAGGTTATATCAGGGAATCACTGCTGAATCCTGATGATGACAATCAACAGTACACTGCCAGCAATTTATTTGTTAGTATAACTGAAACTCTCCGGAATAGCTTTATCAAACTCTGTTAGTAAACTATTTGCTTCGGTTTCAGAAAAAGACAAACCAGTGAAAAACAAAGTTCACTAAATTTAGAGACTCTCTAGCCAAATCCAACTACTAAAAGGTCATAAAGATAACTCAAATATTGGAGCTGAATTGTGTCAATCAAGCACTTCAAGAAATTTCCAGCTTAGCTTATCAATAATTGTGATCGGTGACAATATAGTTTTATCAAGATGAATGACACTCACCTCCATAATGGAAAACCATGCACTTAAAGAATTAAGGTATTGTATAGTAAAGTACCATTAACCTCCCCATGGATGAAGATACATTTACAATTCTTGGTGATGGGGATAGTTGGAGAAGTGGAAGGAAGGCTTCAATCATTCTTTTTGCACCATAGTAGTTTATTTGCAAGCATTCTGCTGATAACTCATATGTCTCCGTGATTATCTTCTTCCAGTCAAAGTCAGGCCCCACTGTCTGCATTGATCAATGTTCATAAACGAGGATGAATATATCCCAATCCACATAACCCTCCAACTAAACTGAATATATCAAGCTCGCAACATATTAGAGATGCTTAACCATTTTAGCTATTTGATGTGTTGGAATATCTGGGGGAAAAAAGGTTATTAAAAGCCAGCTCAATAACAGATTTTTATGCTTTTTCCCAAAGCTCTAGGGTTGTTCTCTGTCCATTGCTACTTGGAAGCAAATTCCAAACTGGATCTGAGCTAAATTAATCAAGGTGCACAGAAAACTTACACTAGCCTTTAGAGCTTCACTATCAACAATGGATCCCCCAACCCCAGCATTATTCACCTGAAACAAGAAAGATGTAGCCATGTATGAGCTAAAAACAAACTTGTGTTTTGTAGACTATTACAGGGTCCTAATAGTTCCATAGTATGTAAATGAAGAGGAAACTGTTTCCAGACAGTAGCTAAATATATGCCTAACTATTCCATGATCATCAAAAGAGTAAGAAATTATCAAAACTGTGAATAAACTTCAACTATACTGAAGTTACTCAACATGATTGTAGAGAAATTCTGTTGAAAATGAACTGATAATACTGTCAAGAAATGGAATTTCTGATCATACCAAGATATCAAGCCTTCCAAGCTGAGTCTTGACGAATTCAGCAATGGCAGCAACACTAGATGGATCAGCAACGTCAAGCTGATGAAAGAGAAGATCACCAGACAGACCATCAGTCGCTTTAAGTTTGTGAAAGGCATCAAGTCCCCGCTTCTCATCTCTGGCAGTCAACACCACAGTGATTCCTTGAGAAGCTAACTGCCTGCATATCTCAAATCCTATTCCTTTGTTTGCCCCTGTCACAACTGCATACCTGTCAAAACTGAAAATATTCAGTATATCACTCCGTGAGATGGTTGGGTACTGGCTAGCTAGGTTCTTCCTAAAGGCAACATGATGTGCAAAAAAGTAAATAGCAATTTCAGTACCTTTTCTGGATATTCATGGGGGATTCTGCCATTGATTACTCTTCAGAGGCAACAAGTTTTTTGAGACGAAACTATCTCTGAAGTTACTTTATTTTAGTTCTTGAACTATTTATTCAATTGCAACGAATATGCATGGATTTAATTAAGCCGTTTTTAATCCTTTTTTTTTTTTTTTGCAACGATACATGTGTATAATTTACTTTATCCTAATCTAGAGGAAGGGAAGGCTAAAAAGACTGTGATAGGGGGTTAGTAAATATACAGAGCCAACTAGACTAACGAAGTAATATGACACAATTCTTAAATTTTTTTTACTACAGATGAGATTTTAAACCCTCACCTACAATCTAACGAGGGACTTAAACCCTTGAGCCATTGGGCCAGTGGTTAATTAAGCCGTTTTTTACAACTACGTAGAAATCTAAAGTTCTTTCAGCACTGAGTGCCAAGTGGACATCTCAAGCTTAATTGGCATTGAGTGATTGGTATAGACAATGTACTAACAACTGGATAAGAATACAGCTGTGAGGCCTAGGTCTGAGCTGCGCTGTTGAGGGATGTATGTGCAATTCCCTAGGTCATTTATTTCCTGTAACATTTGTTTACTGTTTTGATAGCCATTAAATGACTTTGTGTTGTCATTTTACTACCCGTTAGACCACTCTATAGCACCATTAGATCTTATTTACTTCTGTAAATCTTTCTGGGCAGAACCCTCTTTTCTTTCTTTCTTTCCTTTTTTTGGTTAATGATTGATCTCTCTTAAGTTCCTTTATTCAAATCAATATCTATGCTTTGGTTAGTTTTCCCCGTTGTCCTGTCCTGTTCAATCCGTTCTCCGTTCTTCTTCTGTCAGAACTTGTAACACCCATTGAAGTTCCTGAACGAAGCAGAAAATAAAGCTTTAAGTAGGCTGCAAATTTGCCATTGCTGCAAGGACTGCTCGCCTTTACAGTTTACACCGCTTGGCATTCGCTATCGCTCGTCCCATGTAGCAGTCGACCTAAAAAGTTGAGCATTAAATGCAAAGGGAGGTTTAATTGTCCAAAGAGGATTAAATGCAGCATCAATTTTGCAATCAATAGAGAGGCTATTTACAAAGGGGAAAAAGACAATCAATTAATTGCTAGAAACCTGGCAGAACGTGCATGGGAAATAGGGCTCAATTAATTGTTAAAAATGTCGCAGATCAGGCATGGGAAATAGTATGGGCAATACTGAAATAAACGGCAGCTCAAATGGCTGTTGCAAAAGAACCAATAAAGAGTCCATATTAATTTGTTTAATCGTACACCAAATTTGACCGTAGAATGCAGACAGGTCCTCCCTCTACGTTAACAGTATGGAGTGTAAAGGCCACTTGATGGAAAGGTTAGCTCCCGCTCAGATTGCAAGTTTTTAGAGTTTTTATTAGTATATACTCCCTCCGTCCCATTTTGTTAGTCTTGATTTTTTTTTCACACAGATTAAGAAAATATAATTAATTTGATTGGAAACATAAATTTAGATTAATAATTTCCTAAAATACCCTTATGCTAATCACGAAGAGTGCCAATTAATATCAGTTACAGCTAATGGGTTAGTATTGGAAAAACTCAATGTATTCAATGTAGTGGATTAGTATTTAATAACAATGTATTACTAACAAGATATTTAATAAGGGTATTTTAGACAATTTAAAAAATTACTACATTTCTTAATGGGAAAGTGGATTACAATTTGGGACAGACGAAAAAGGAAAACAAGACTATCAAAGTGGAACGGAGGGAGTATGTGTCTATATATATATATATAGAACGATGTGATAAATGTAAAATAAAAATATGATTAAAAAAGATGTATCCACAATTTAAAGAAAGTCTTAGATTTTTACTTGAAATTAGATGGACAAGATTGTTTGCGGACTACAATTTTGAATAGGCGTTAAAATTTATTGTACTTTTGCATATTATCGTCTTAACATTTATTTTTTTTTTGTTTTAGTATTTATATTGTATGGGCAATCGTAGAATTCCAAAACCTTACTGCCCAACACGATAAAAAGTCATAGTAGAAGTACAAATGATTATCCATGCAATAACTTAAAGTCCAATAAGCAAAATGCTATTTCTAGAATTGTAGAATATTAATCACCAAGTTTTGTTTTTTAAATAGACTTTTGTAGCCACGGGGACAGTGGATGCTCCCTTCCTCGGTCCTTCGACTAACTACGAATATGACCGGGTACTACTATAAATAGAGGACAATAGTCACAATACAATGCGCGTCTATTAAAGGACTCTTAAGCTTGTTTTAGTCCTCAAAGCATACCAATTAAGATTTAGTGCATCTCTCCTTGGATCAAGGATGGCAGAAGCAATCACCAGCCATGCACAAAAAAGGTTGTCAACTCGTTTACTAATATCTTTTTGCTTGACTCTTTCACTTTTAATTGTCTGATCAAAACACTGCTGCACGGATTGTTTCTGAAACCTGCAACAGTTATATATAATATTGTTTCTCCTCGTATTTCTGGTACTCCTGTTAGACTGTTATAGTACTCTGTTGCAGGTGTGCCGTGGTTACAGGGGGAAACAAAGGAATAGGATTTGAAATATGCAAACAGTTGGCATCTCAAGGTATCCTAGTTGTGTTAACTGCCAGGGATGTAAAGAAAGGCAATGAAGCTTTTGAGAAGCTTAAGGATTCTGGCCTCTCTGAAAATGTTGTCTTCCATCAGCTTGATGTTGTGGAACCAGCTAGTATTGCTTCCCTTGTAGATTTCATCGAATCCCACTTTCGAAAACTAGATATCTTGGTAACATCTGCTGACCCGTTTCTGAATTTCTCTTCCCTTCTACGTGGTTTTCTAACCATCCTTTATGTCATCTTCATTTTAGTTTATTTCTCTGTTAGCGCGAAATAATATGATGACAAGAAAAGGGTTTCTTGCACTCTTAGGAATCCAGTACTAATCATAATCTGATCTCAAATTTGACCACAGACAGATGTTATTTCTATCATTTACACTCCATGTATATTTAGCAGGAAAAGAAAATTCTTTTGTTTCTGTGGAAGTTGATGGAAATCCTGAATTCCTTTTCGAACGTCGTATTGCCCAACTAGTGCCGAGACCATATAGTAAGGGATAACACAATCCTAGAATTGAAAACTTTTGGCAATGCATTCATGTTCCTTCTTGGTTTGGTATGTAGCTGTTTCATTTATAAGCAAGATCTCAGATGCTTATAATTCTTTGCATCCCAAGGAAGTTGTCCTTATTGAGATCATTATATATTTTTAATCGTCAAATTCTTCTTAAACAAAGAAAGATCTACTCAAGGAGTCCTTAATCGAGTATTCTACATTTGAAGGGTTGAAATGAGTTGACCACACCAGAGTAGATATCCTATAATTTGAACCATCTGCCAAATGCATAATTGTTAGCAATCTTGTTAGGTGCAACTTGGATAAGTACCTCAGTTTTAAGTTTTTGCTAATGGGGTCTGTTCTGCATTCCCTGTTTAGCACTGGCCAAGGGAAACTCCCGTGGTACTTCAACTTGCAGATAGTTGCACAGCATTCAAAATTGAAACTCCAAGCTCATTTTAATAGCATTTTCGAGTTCATATAGAAGTGAAACTAGAAATTTTGGAACTTCATGCAGGTTAACAATGCAGGAGCTGCAGGACTAATGGTTGAAGGAGATGTTTCCATTATTAAAGAGATAATTATGGCGGATGATCTAAAAGTTGCAGGTCAAGTAAGTCTTCTCTGTAACTAGCAATTTGTCTGCTTGCTGCAATCCTGATAGGATCGATTTTTAAATTGTATATATACTACACAGAATGATCTACTCGCTATCTTGTATTGGCTATCAATAGCAATGAGCTTTCCGTGGAGAGCAAGAAGTTCATAAGCAAATTTTAAGTGTCATCTAGGCATTTTGCTGATGTTATTTCAATAAATTTTCCCGTCTGAGTAATCTGCACCAGAGCTTGACATATGTATAGTTGCTTCATATGCTAAACCTGCTGGTCCAAAATCAAAATTGTATCTCCATTCTCTATAGTTTGTTTAACCTGCATGGGTTAGACATCAGTCAACCTTGTCCCTTGTCTTCTGCTATAACCAGTTTGGCCGAAAAAGTACATTAAGAGATAAGGCTTTGTTCCAGCCTTACTTGCATGGAAGACTAGTATGAAGGGTTGGGGAAAATATTGGTTTGAAGTTGTTAATTTGGCCATGAAAACCTTATAACTGACTATATGTAAAGTTTTCTTCTGTTGATTAAAAACTTTTGAGGATATCCACATCCACTTGCTGACTAAATTTGTTTTTTGCTCCTAGAATGACTTGAAATACTATGTTGCTGCTGATGCATTGCATAAATTCTGCTTTTAGTCGCTGTCCAACATATAGTGTGCTTGGTCCTAAGATTTCAGTCTTACTGATGCAGGAAGTACCTGAGATAAAAGCAGATGCAAAACTCATTCAGACATATGATTTGGCTGAAGGGAGTCTGCAAACTAACTACTACGGTGTAAAACAGATGATTGAAGCATTCATTCCGCTCTTGCAGTTATCTTCTTCGCCTAGAATTGTAAATGTATCCTCTCTCTTGGGAAGGCTGGAGGTAACTTTCCTAGGAAAAGCTTTTGCAGCCCGAAATATCTCGTTTGTTTGGCTTTAATATCTACACTAAAAAGGTTAAAGAGAAGGACTTAATCAAAGTTAAGTCCTGATAAGGTCATATTTTGTTGAATTGTTATCCATTTCAAGGTACCAGTTCATTTTTTCTGCCCGTTATGTCCATCTGAATTCAAGCTAGACAAGACCATGCAAGTGTTTATGTCAGAAAGTATCCATATATACTGGCTTAAGTTAATTATTGGTGAAATTAATTAGTGATCAACCTAATTGTTGAATCTTGTACTCAAGCTAGCGTTTGGTGCGAATCAAGTACTTCTGTAGTTCAGCATATCCTTTTCTCTTCATGAATTCAACACTTGTAACATACTTCCCATTTCAGAGCAAGAGTCATGACTTGATTGTTCTCCACATTGTTTTTAGTTATTATCCCACCAATGGGCTGTAGAGGTGCTAAGCGACGGCGAAAGCCTGACAGAAGAGAGAGTGGATAAGGTGGTAACTGAATTTCTCAAGGACTTCAAGGATGGCACTGCAGAAGCTAAATGTTGGCCTGCAACTTTCACAGCATATAAAGTCTCCAAAGCAGCAATTAATGCCTACACAAGGATTCTGGCCAAGAAATACCCAACCATCTGCATCAATTGCGTTTGTCCAGGCTACTGCAAAACAGATATAACCTGCAATACAGGATTTTCTACTGCTGCAGAAGGTGCTGAAGGTCCTGTAAAGCTTGCATTATTGCCTGACGGTGGCCCTTCTGGCTTGTTCTTCTCAAGAAAAGAGGTGACAACTTATTGATGAAAAAAATCAAATGCAAGCTCATGCATCTAATAGGAATACCATTTTGGGAATCGCCCACAATGTTTTTGGGAAGTTTATTCCTGTTTTGTTGCGTTGGTGGTACTAAATTTTGGTGGTGTTTCTTGGATTTTTTGGCCCGGCCCTTCATATTTGGCTTTCTTCATTTTTTTTCCTATAATTCTTTTTCTTTCATTTATTGTTTTCGTATGACCTACAACTTTTAATTACAAAACAGTAGTACGAATGGTTTTCCAAAAAATTGGCAAAAATTCCCTGCTAGTTAATTGCTTACAAGCGTGGAAAGTGTGTGTGATTCTTACCTATACCCAATCCAATGCAAGAGTCTAAAATTATCAATTAGCCTTCATATTCTTAAAAGGGTTTGTCTATTGAATGTCCATTGAACATTTGTTAACACACCAAAATTTCGTTAATCTACCCTTTATTATACACTTTCTCTAATTAAGAGGCTAGTGTTGGATGATGAGTTTTTTGGATGTTTATATAAAATTTTACTATAACTTACTACAAAAATTGTAGAAAAACTTTTGTCAATTAGAAGTTTGGAGAAAATTTTTCTTTTTCTTTTTTCTTTTTTCTCTCTTTCTTTCCCTTTCTTCTTCTTCCTCCCTCTCAACAGCCCGTCGCCGGCCACACCACCACAGGCAGCCGCCACCATCTCACCCCTCTTTTTTTTCCCTCACCTTTCCTCTCCCTTCTCTTGCTGCTCCCTCCCTTCCTCCACCTACCTCTCTTTTCTCCTATTCCACCCCCTTTCCCTTCTCCCGACCCCTACCTCCCTCTAGTCGCGAGATTAGCCACGTGAACAAATTGAAGTAGGAGGAGAGGAAGAGGAGGAGGAGAGGGGAAAGAAAGCAAGAAAAAAAAGGAGGTGCCAGCGCCAGTGACGAAGGTAGAGATGAGTTCTAGTGGGGGGAGGAAGATGAAGATCCAAAGCAAGTAGGGAAAAAAAAAATTTTTTTTTTTTTTTTTGGATATTTTGAGATATGTGTTTTAAAAATATTGAAGAGTTTTTTAAGGTTGCTACAGCTAAAGTTGTTAAAAACCTAACAAAAAAAATTAGGCAAAAAGCTTGCCTTCCAAACAGACCCTTATCTTTGAAAGAAAAAAAAAAAAAAATCTAACAATTCAAGTTGCGGTACGACCCAACGGGTGCTTGACTCTTCTTAAAAAATGTGCAATCTAAACATTATGGGAGTCATTTGAGTATGAATTAAAGATAAGAAGGATATTCTTTCCTCAAATTCAATAGGACAACTTCTGCAACTTCTACGAAAACCCCCGTACCAAACCTTCTGCCACACTTGTTCAATTCCATTAGGCATGCAACCAATCCATTGATTCAGCAAATTGAGCAATCAAACTATACAAGACCATGTCGGAGGTAGGGGTCCCAAAGATTACCATTCATATTGAATTAAAAACTTCAAAAATGTCTTGAAAGACTCCAATTGCACTTAATGATGAACATACATTTCCAACTATCATTCATGTTTTTACCATCCTTTTTACATACCTATAAAACTGTAGGTCCATAAAAGGAGAACTTTCCGAAGTTTTGCTTAATAATCGAAGTTATGAAGCAGCGTATGGAATGAAAACTTAAAGAGTCTGGGAAGGAAGTTTTCAAGGTAATCAAGACCTGGTTATGCACCACATCTCTCGTGATATTTAGCTGCTCCAGAAGTCCAACAACGGTCAAAGTTCAACCGTCCTTCGGAGAAGATATGTCTTCACCGTATAGGGCTTAGGGTGAACCATGAACCGTAATAGTTGGTGGTTGGTAAACCCTATTTAGAAGGTAATAAGAAGATATAAAATCTATGATTCTCTGAAAGATTCAACCAAGCTAAAGTAACACTCTTATAATACCAACCAATTAAATAAAAATAAAAAAATTGCTCGCAGAGGCTCCCAAAAGTTGTACGCATTGAGAAGTTAATCTGTCAAGGATTTCTAAATAAATTTGTCAAGGATCATCTCTAGCCATTGTTTCAAAATCATACCATAACCAGAAGATAAACAAGGCTTTGAGAAGTAAATCTGTCAAGGATTTCTAAATAAAATAGAACTTAATTTGTCAAGGATCACCTCTAGGCCATTGTTTCATAATCACACCATAACCAGAAAATAAACAATGTTTTGAAGATGGACAGTGTTATCTCTTGGTAGTTGGTAAACCGCATTTAGAAGGTAACTGGGAGGTGAACACCGCGCGCAATGTGCGGTGTGAGTTTTAGGCTTGCCCAAAAACTGGCCAGACATCTTAGTTGAGATAGAATGCTTCGGTCCGGAGGTACCAAATGAAATCCATTGAAATATATATTTACACGGAGATGAGTTCGCAAGAAAGCCGGACAGAGGAGAAGAAAAGAAGGAGAAAACACTGAAAGCAAACAGAACCTGCAGGACAAAGATGAAGCAAGAAGGCAGAGAAGAAAGCAGATCAGAAAATCCTAGGAAAGGAGGGAAAATGGAACAATACCTCCGAGGCTGTGTAAACTGCCAATTTGTCTCGGAATTCAACCTGCATTGGAAGAGACAACCATGATAAACCAGCTAATCATCATTCTGGGGAGCGTTCTCCTCGTAGCTTCAAACAATGCAGCTGTAAGAGCTGAGAAAGGAAAGGAATTCATGGCTCTCTGATCGACCCAATGACCCGAACCATTCCAACGGAGCATCTGGAGAGAACAAATTTATCCACAATACATGTGTGAGGCACGTGACAACGACAAGAGTTTTGACTGAATTCCTTTGGCGCATTGTATGTTATATTGATTAAGCCAAAAATATAACAAATAAAAAACAGGCAAGTTGGAGAATTAGTGAACCAAAACTCATTTGGGAAAATGGTCCAGAGTACATATTATTTGCGAAAAAGATCCAGAGCATGTAGTACATAGTCATTATTGTATAATAGAAACCAAGGCCCAAATGAATTGTGCATGAACAAAGGGAGATTTAATTGTCCACTTGATGGAAAGGTTAGCTCCCGTTAGACTGCAAGTTTTTAGAGTTTTCATTATATATATGTGTGGGTGTGTGTGTGTGTGTACACGCAGCAATTACCTCAGGGGAAGAAGGCTGCTTCAAAACAAGGTAGATAAGCTTTGATTGGAAGAAGGAAGTCCTTAGGTATCACTGCAACAGCCTGAAATTGTCAAAAAACCACAAATATACAAAGTCGAATGACACAGAACCTGTTGGTTTTCAAACAGTTATACACAGTGATCATCGGGGAGACATAAAGAACTACTTTCGAACACTTTAAACTGTCGCATCCCTTGGATAGCTCTCCTTCACATAGTGTTTAAATGCTGATAGTTGTACCCCCAATGCTATCATTTTTATAGAAACAACATATAAATAGAGTTAACTGATCTCAAATCTTTGAATAACAAATTGTCATCTATGAGAAAACCATAAAAAATGATTACATACCAAACATTGCAAAACTTGAAATTCCGCAGCTGGCTAAAGAGACAACCTTCAAGTAATAAAGATGGAGAATCAGAACCTCTTCCAAACAACGCCCACTACACAGATGAGTTCTTCAATCTAAGCTCCTAACATGAAGCCATTCAGAAGCCACGCTAATCATCATGATGCATATGACAAAAGAAGCTCTCCAGAATGTAAATGCACAGGTAACAACAGGACGAAAACAATCGAATTCACACACTCTATTTGAACAAGACCTGATGATGCCAGTTACCTCCTCAGAGCAAACAGAACTAAAGAGTTTGGGATGAAGCGGAACTCTTGGAACGAGACCAATAATCAGTACAACTTTAAACAGAGTATTATCAGAACACAAGAAAGAAATACACGAGAAAAAAGGGTTTCTTTTAAAAAAAACACAGAGAGAGATAGAAAAGCCTTTAGATGCATTAGAAGATGCACGTCTCAATTCCAAGGTCATAGCACAAAGAGGGGACACAGAGACATTTACAGGTGTCAAACCCACTAAGTTGGCTCAAGCACAAAGGAAGAGATAATGTGAACTCCCTTCATTAACAATGCAAAAAGCCTTTGATCTTGGGCAGGAGACATAAAGTTGTCACCAAATTTCCGAATCATCTAGACCAACATTCCAGCAACCACAGTCATGTTAAGGAAGTTAAATAGTTCCTGTGAAACACACGAGTTGTTCAATCGTACAATACTAACGAGGTAGACACACAGCAAATCAATCATCATATCCAGAAGGTTTGAACCAGTCCTCAGGAAAAACAATTTAAAAAAATAATAAAAAGTAGGGAAAGAGCAAACTTGTACGAAATCTCATGAACCAATCAGGGTAACGACAATGACCAAAACTCCAAAGCTCCCCTACAATCAAAGGCAACATGCAGAGCCAGTTAATAATGACTCCCTACAAGGCGGCAAACTTTTCAAGCAAAAATTAGAACAACGTGGAGAGTATGAGAGAGAAAAAAAAAACTCCCAATTCTAGAGCACATCCATCAAAGAAACATCTCTCCTTGGGAGGCCAGAATTCCGCCATTCTAAAAACAAGGCCAATCTCTAAGCAACAACAACAATACAGTAATATGATGCCAAAATTGCCCGATAAACTGGAATACCAAACAAAGTCATGTATGTTAGATAACATCTATGGTTTTTCAATCATTATCATCCAAACAAAAAAAAAAAAAAAGAACACCCAATCATTCTTCAGGAAAACAGCACAAAACCAGAAGAAGAGAAAGAAAAACTCCCCCAAAATTTTGTAACGAAACCAAAAGCTGTATTGAGGTGTTGGAAACCAGTAACTAAACCAAAGGCTGTCGATGCACAGAATTCTGGCTAAGAGTGTTATAGAATAAGCAGATCAACTAGCAGACCAATAGTGCTACCTTAGCACAAACACCCTTTATGAATCTTTATGAATCTTTCACTCATTATTTGAACAAATTTGAAAGCTTATGAATCTTTTCTATTTTCTTGAACAAATTTGACACAGTCACTTTCTGCTATATGTATTTTCCTTTTCTGTGACATTTGTCCAGATGTCCCCGGAGACAAAGCAGCTAGCACTCATTCTACCTATATACCTTCACAGGTTAACTATGGAAAAACCAGATGCATATGTATTGAAAACTGTAGTGCTCAAATAGCATCTGAATGACCATAGAAATGAATTTAGCATTGCCGCATGAAACTCTCAAAAACCTTTACTAACCGTGAAGTTAACAAGGGGATGCAAACATAAAGAGCTACATGGTATAGAACAGGTTCAGACATCTGAAGATAAACAATTCACGCAAATATTAAGCAACATATAGCCCATATAGCTTCCAGAAAAGGAAGGAAAAATTAAATGAAATGGCCTTTGAATCAGTGTCTCCAAACAGTGAGCAAGCAGAAAATTTGAAAGTGGAAAAAGAGAACAGTAAAAATAACCTCAGTAAGAGGAAACCTTCACTTCTTCAACTTTAAAAGCTCTTTTAAATATGCATATTCAGCCAAACAAGCAGGAGAAGAACCACAAATGTGTGCAAAGCAACATGACATGATAGACCACCAACAGAAGTGTAGATTATCAAATACTAACACAACAACCTCTTAGAAGTTCCACAATTATAATAGATGACCACCATTTTCTTATAGCTGAACCCACAATTCTGAAGATATGTGGTGCAAACAAAGAGAAACAGGGCATTAGACGGACCTCAATAGTATTGCTCGCAAGATTTGCAAAAAGCCAAAACAAGTTCCCATACCTGCAAACCCAAGGGAAACCCTCCAGAAGATCATTTGAAAATTTTGAAAACTACTATAAAAGTTGCAGAACAAGAATTGTAACAAGTGCTTGAAAGAGTAGAATTGACAGTTCATCAATCAACCTGGCAATCTACAGGGTCCAACAGATTCAGAAGCATATGTTATGAACATTAAGACTGCGTATATCAAAGGTGTTGGCAAAGCAAGTAGTGTCCAGTCAGTGTATTCTCTGCAGCAACAAAAACAGGACCTGCTGCTATAAATACACCATAGAAACTAAAATAGCTAGTCCTCGACCAATGAATTCCAATTCATAGACCAGGAAAAAACATATATTTATAACTTAAGCTGATGAACTGCAATTAGTAATTGCATCAGAACAAACAATCATTTCATAACCACACCACATAACCAGGAATGAACATTATTCGTGAAACTATGCCGACCAGTACCAGCTTCAAAAGCAGATAAAACAGCCAGAGATTTTACCATGAGGCCAATCTTGAACCTGAGCTCCTAGAATACAAACACAGATGCTACCACAGCCCAAAAATGGTCAATTGTCAAGCACTAATAAGAGCAATTAGTTTAGGCAGAATAGAATTCCTTTCAAACCAATGTGGATAGCCTTTAATCTGAAGGAGACCAAGGATGTCACTACAACAGCTCAAACCAATTGAAACTCCTACAACAAATATGCAAATGCGATACAGATAACCCAAGACAAAGTAATACACGTACTCCTTTCAATCACTTTATAACTGCACACTGACTTGCTTCAATGTCTAAAATGATGATGACTGAAGCCTCTCAAATTTTACAGAAACTATCCATTATTGTTCAGAGAAACCTAGCAAGAAAAGTATGGAAAGCAAAAAAACTCCGGTTCTCCTGCAAAAGCATGTAGACCACAACAGAGGACTCGCAATTCTATCCACATTAAAGCACAGTGGAATTCACTGCCACCCCAAATAATTAAAAATAATTTTTCAAGAAACCAGCTCCAATGAAAGAATGAAATCAACAAAAAAATCAAAAGCAGGTAAAAGAGCCTGGGATGTCACTTGAATGCAAGCTGCTGCAGTAGAGGAAACATAGGCGTCAATCACATCCCCAAAACCAACAACTGATCAAAAACAAACGAACAATTAGTTTGACCTTCAATGATGTAAATAGCCTTTGACAAAAGAAAGCCCCAAGATCTAAATGACAACAGCATGGTTGAAACCCAAGATCAAAAGATGTAGATATATAGTTGTTACAGAAAATCCCAAAACTGTTAATCTTCAAACAAAGTAATACACATAGGGAAGCAGAGACCTCCTTTCATTATTTTAATGACATCACCGAGCTCACCAAATCCAAGCTCCTTCCAAAATGAAGATGACATGTTATCCTGATACACTATCCACTATTTCATCAAGAAAAGCTCAGAAGGAAAGTAGGGACAGACCAGAAATTCCCATTTTCTCTTGCAACATCAGGCAGATAGGTAAATTTTAATGCCACACCAAACAGCAGAATGAATTCGCCAAATAATCAAGAAGCAGATAAAAAAGCCTAGGAGGTCTTCAAGCACAACACCCATCTTGCGGTTCCAACAATAGAGAGAAGACATCAAACATCAATAGAAAACGATAATTGATCAAGCACAGAGGATCAATTAGTCTGAGGCAGAAAAGAGTTCCTTCAAAACAATGTAAATAGTGTTAGCCTCAGAAGAAGGAAGCAAGAATCTCAATGAAAACAGGAAGACACAAACCCAAGATCGTAAAATAAACACAAAAAGTCCTTACAGATAACCTGATTCATGCTAATTTCCAAAAAAAATGTAATGCTCCAAAGAAGCAGAGAACACCTTTCAATCACTTTAACCCAGTAAGTTCTAAAATTCCAAGCTCCTTCCTAAAATGAAGATGGATAAACAGACTTAGCTAACCATAAACTATTCATTAGAATTGGAAAAAAACCTAACTTGAAGTAGGGAAAGAGAAAAACTCCTTCAAGGATCTCCTGCAGGGATGTAAGTTTAGGAAGCCTAAAATGTCAACAAGAAACAGCATGACCCAAAACCAAGACCCTAAAATAGAAATATATATTCATTACCTATAATCCAAAAACTGTCAATTTTCAAATTGAAGTAATAAGCATAAGGGTGTTGAGAACTTTTTTCAGACATTTTAGCCACGCAAACTTCTTCATCAAAGTAGGGGACAGAAAGGGTTTATAACTAACCAAAAACTGTCCACTGTTGGTCAAGAAAACCTGCCACACCAAGTACTCAAAGAGAAGAACAGCTCAACTTTTTGGCTCAAGAATCATGTTGAAGATAATTCACAGCTACAGTACTTAACGATCAATCTTGAATCCAGGCCACTACAGAACAGATTAGAGATGGACATTTAAAATATTCCCAAAACCACCAAGTTCAGCAACAATTAGGTGCAATTAGCTCAAGGTGGAAGAGGACTCGTCTAAGACAAGGTAGATAAGCTTTGATTGGAAGAAGGAAGCCCTGAGATACCACTACAACAGCTCAAAATTGCCAAAAATCCACAAGTATACGGAGTCAAATGATCCTGAAACTGTTGGCTTTCAAATATAGATAGTTATAAACAGTAATCAGCATAGAAATGTTCAGAACTACTTTCAAACACTTTAAACTGTCACATCCCTTGGACAGCTCTCCTTCGCATACTGTTTAAATGCTGATAGTTGTGCCCCCAACTCTATCATTTTATAGAGATAACATAACAATAAAGTTAGCTGATGTCAAAAATGATGACAAACCCAATGTTGCAAAACTTGAAATTCCACACCTGCCTAAAGAGACGACCTTCAAGTATACAGGCAGAGAAACAGAACTCCTTCCAAACAGGGCCCACTACACAGCTGAGGAATATAACCCAAACAACCATTTAGAAGCTGCCAAAAGATACCCTAACCATCACGTGTATAACAATAGAAAATCTCCAAAATCATGTAATGCACAATGATGAAAACAATCGAATTCACACTCCCTATTTGAACAACACAGAGCATAATTGATGATGCCAGTTACCTCTTAGAGCAAACAGAACTAAAGAGGTTGGGATGAAGGGGAATCCCTGGAACAAGACCAATAATCAGTACAACTTTAAACAAAGTATTGTTAGCCAAAAACAAGAAATGCATGAGCAAAAAAGTTACTTAAAAAAAAGAAGAAGAAGAAAAGCCTTTGGATGCATTAGAAGATACAGGTCTCAATACCAAGATGCTAACATAAAGGACCCGGCGGGTGGGCCCGGCAGGGGCATTAGATATTTACAGGTGTCAAAACCACTAAGTTGGCTCAAGCAAAAAGGAAGAAATAGTGCGTACTCCCTTCGTTAACAATGCAAAAAGCCTTTGATCTTGGACAAGAGACGTAAGTTGTCATCAAACCTCTGAGTCATCTGGACCCAGATTCCAGCAACCAAAGTCATGTTAAGGAAGTTAAATAGTTCCTTTGAAACATACAACTTGAGTTGTTCAATCCTTCAATCCTAACGAGGTAGATGCAGAGCAAATCAATCATCATATCCAGAATGTCCCCTATCAGTCCTCTGGAAAAACAGCTCTAAAAAATTAATAAAAAAAAGGCAGGGAAAGAGCACACTTTACGAAATCTCATTAACCAATATAGCAGGGTAACGACAATGACCAAAACTCCAAGCTCCCCTACAATCAAGACAACATGTAGAGCCAGTTAATAATAACTACCTAAAAGGTGGCAAATTTCCCGATTTTAGAGCACATTCAATCAAAACATATTTTCTCTCCTCGGATTCTAAAAGCAAGGCCAATCTCTAAGCATCAACAACAATACGATAATGTGATGTTGTCCGATAAACTGGAATGCCAAACAAAAGTCATGTACGTTAGATAACTCCTATGGTTTTTGAATCATTATTATCCAAAAAAAAAAAATCCCAATCATTGTTCAGGAAAACAGCACAAAACCGCAAGTAGGGAAAGAAAACTCTCCCAAGATTTTATAAACCAGAAGAAGAGGATAACGATCATGACCAAAACCCTTGAATCCAAGATCCCCTAAGATCAAGACATCAACAGTGACTCCATAAAATAAAAGCGGTGATTTTATCAAGCAAAGATGAGAACAACCCAAGACCAAGAGGGGATTAGAGAAGAACTCCCAAATTTCAGACCGCATTCAAATCCATCCAACAGAGCTTTTCTCTCCCCCATTCGGCCAATTCTACAACAAGGTGATTTTCGAAACATTCACAGGAAGGAAAATACCAGAGCTACCACCTAAAGCAATCATGAATAAATCACAGAATCTACGTCAATCAACAATTCCAATATTAATCTCCAACTCAATTTAACTAATTTCACAACCTTCAAAATTGAGAAAACCGATGCAGAAAACCGCGCTCGATGATTCTTAATGAAGAACGAAACCGACAAGGGCGGGAATAGTTGGAGGGGAGTTGGGGATATTTATAGGGGTTTGTTAGAGAATGAACGGTTAAGCGGCCACGAGGTGGTCCTTTTCCAAGTTGGATTTGGGCTATGATTCGTTAGCCGTTGTGAATTTTGTCGCTAAGATTCGTTAGCCGTTGTACGCGTGCTGTCCAGTTCCAGGTCTGTTTTGTTTTTATTTTTATTTTTTTTGGATAGGAAAAGTCGGTTGTTTTAATTTAGGAAATTGCCATCATTAGTACTGTTATACAAGTCGAATTGTCCGATTTGTCGACTTGCTTAAACTCGTACATATTTGATAATGGCTCGTTCAAAATTATATACGAGTCAAGTTCAAACAAATATTTTGACTTAATAAATAATTGAACAAACACGAGTCTCAAAAACAAATTTAAATGATCATTTGCAAACATTAATCTAATTGTCATTTCACAAAATTTAGGGTTAGATGGTTAGTTTAATTAGTATTGAATCTATTGATTATTTGAGAGAAAAAAAAAACTTGAATTTGAGTTTCTTGTTCATGTTAAAGGAGTCAAAGTCGAACTAAAATTAAAATCTCAATTAACGAGTCGAACATGAACGGAGATTTCGAGTTCGAAAATTATCAAACAAACATGAGCTTTGTTCAAGTAGTATAACGAACAAAGTTTAGACATGAAATACTTGACTTAACTCGTTTATAGCCCTAGCCACCATGCTGGAGAAATTCTGCTTTTTTTTCTTAAAAAAAATGATTTATTGCCCTGTTAAAGGTGGTATGCTTCACCATTTTTTTTTTGGGTAGGGGGGGGGGGGTTATTTTCTGCATATAACCTCATGAAGGTGTCCTCATGTTACATCTTTAAAAAAAAAAAAAATTACGGCATGTTCAAAGATGGTATGTATACATATATATATATACATACACTTTAACGATTTGATGCATGTAAAATAAAAATGTAATTGAAAAATATGTACTCACAGTTCAGACAAGGTCTATGTTTTTATTTGAAATTAGAACGATAAAATTGTTTGCAGGAACAATTTTGATTAGGTGCTAAAAGTTTATCATACATTTATACATTATTGTCTTAATATTTATTTTTGTGGCTTTAATATTTATAGTGTATGGCGCATTTGAGAAAGGTGATCGTAGATTTTAGAAACTTTACTGCCCTTGTGATAAAAAGTATAGTAAAAACACAATTTATGATTATCCATGCCCTAACTTAAATCCAATAAGCAAAATGGTATTTTTAGAATAGTAGAATATTAAACACCAAAGTTTTGTTTTTAAATAGATTTTTGTAGTCGCGGGGACAGTGGATGCTACCTTCCTGGTTCCTTCGACTAAGTACGAATATGACCTGGTACTATAATAAACAGAGGTGAATACCGTACAGTACGGGATAATACAATCCTGCAATTGAAAACTTTTGGCAATGCATTCACGTTCCTTCGTGATTTGGTATGTAGCTATTCATTTATAAGCAAGATCTCAGATGCTTATAATTCTTTGCATCCCAAGGAAGTCGTCCTCGTATATTTTTAATAGCCGAATGGCTCTTCTTAAACAAAGAAAGATCTGCTCAAGGAGTCCTTAATCGATTATTCTACATTTGAAGGGTTGAAATGAGTCGACCACACCAGAGTAGATATCCTATAACTTGAACCATCTGCCAAATGCATAATTGTTTGCAATCTTGTTAGGTGCAACTTGGAGAAGTACCTCAGTCTTAAGTTTTCGCTAATGGGGCCTGTTCTGCATTCCCTGTTTAGCCTAATTCTCTAACGTGGAAAGCTAAGAGACCAGCCAAGGAAATCCTGTGGTGCTTCAACTTGCAGATAGTTGCACAGCATTCAAAATTGAAACTTCAAGCTCCTTTCAACAGCATTTTTCGAGTTCATATAGAAGTGAAACTAGAAATTTTGGAACTTCATGCAGGTTAACAATGCAGGAGCTGCAGGACTAATGGTTGAAGGAGATGTTTCCATTCTTAAAGAGATAATTCTGGCGGATGTTCTAAAAGTTGCAGGTCAAGTAAGTCTTCTCTGTAACTAGCAATTTGTCTGCTTGCCGCAACGAGCTTTCCGTGGAGAGCAAGAAGTTCAAAAGCAAATTTAAGTGTTACCATGGCATTTTGCTGATGTTCTTTCAATAAATTTTCCCATCTGATTAATCGGCACTGGACCTTGACATAGTTATGGTTGCTTCATATGGAAAACCTGCTGGTCCAAAATCAAAATTGTATCTCCATTCTCTGTAGTTAGTTTAACTTGCATTGGTTAGGCATCAGCCAACCTTGTCTCTTGTCTTCTGCCATAACCAGTTTGGCCAAAAAAGTGCATTAAGAGATGAGGCTTTGTACCAGCCTTACTTGCATGGAAGATTAGTATAAAGGGTTGGGGAAAATATTGATTTGAAGTTGTTAATTTGGCCATGAAAACCTTATAACTGACTATACCTATATGTAAAGTTTTCTTCTTTTGATTAAAAACTTTTGAGGATATCCACATGCACTTTCTTGGGAAAGCTAAAGGTAACTTTCCTAGGAAAAGCTTTGCAACCCAAAATATCTCGTTTGTTAGGCTTTTCTGCCTATTATGTCCATCTGAATTCAAGCTAGACAAGACCATGCAAGTGTTTATGTCAGAAAGTATCCATATATACTGGCTTAAGTTAATTATTGGTGAAATTAATCAGTGATCAACCCAAATTGTTGAGTCTTGTACTGAAGCTAGCGTTTGGTGCGAATCAAGTACTTCTGTAGTTCAGCATATCCTTTTCTCTTCATGAATTCAACACTTGAAACATGCTTCCCATTTCAGAGCCGGAGTCATGACTTGATTGTTCTCCATATTGTTTTCAGTTATTATCCAACGAATGGGCTGTAGAGGTGCTAAGCGACGGCGAAAGCCTGACAGAAGAGAGAGTGGATATGGTGGTAACTGAATTTCTCAAGGACTTCAAGGATGGCACTGCAGAAGCTAAATGTTGGCCTGCAACTTTCACAGCATATAGAGTCTCCAAAGCAGCAATTAATGCGTACACAAGGATTCTGGCCAAGAAATACCCAACCATCTGCATCAATTGCGTTTGTCCAGGCTAATGCAAAACAGATATAACCTGCAATACAGGATTTTTCACTGCTGCAGAAGGTGCTGAAGGTCCTGTAAAGCTTGCATTATTGCCTGACGGTGGCCCTTCTGGCTTGTTCTTCTTAACAACTTATTGATGAAAATAATCAAATGCAAGCTTATGCGTCTAATAGGAATACCATTTTGGATGTACGTTGTATGAAGCTGGTAAAATCTTGTCAAGGTATTTTAATATGGGGGCCTTGGGGAACTGCCCACAACTTGGATTTTCGGGGAAGTTTATTCCTGACTTGGTGGTACTATACAATTTGGTATTGCTTCTTGGATTTTTGGGTCTGGCCCTTCATATTTGGCTTTCTTCATTTTGTTTTCCCATAATTCTTTTTCTTTCATTTGTTGTTTTTATTTGACCCAAGGTTTTGAAACTCAGACGTTCATTGAATAAAAAAAAATGATTGGATCACGGGTTATTAATTCAACTGTTGGACTAATCGTAATTGATCCGCGATGTCATAAATATGTCATGAATAATTATTAATATTTTTAAAGAATTATTGTATATAATAAAAATGAAATACAACAATTTAGTAAATGATAATATTTGATTGCACTATTAAGTTTGTCATTTTAACTAAAACACAAACACAAATTTCAATACATCTTTTTATTTAATATACATCACATCACAAAAAATATTACAATAATTATTTCAAATACATTTCTATCCAACCACAAAAAGACATTTTAAATATTTAAAGTTAAAAGATATAGATAATGAAACATTTTGTTAAGACTGCAGGATATACATTGACATTAAGTTTTTCATATATTTTGTTAACGAATGCCATTAAACACTTGTTAATATACCTAAATTACATCTAACTTAACATATATATATATATACATATATATATACACGTACTAACAGTTATTACCTTCTTTATATTTATATACTTTTACTAATTAATTTTACATTTCAAAAAAAATTTAATACCTGAAATACAAATGGTAGGAGTCTAGCTGAGATTAAGTCAAATCAAATCAAGCTTCGAACGCTTCCAAAATAAGGGAAGCTGCTTTGAAGACGACTTCATCCGGCTTCCCACCGCAACTGACAGAGAAAAGTGAAACGGTTGTGGGCCTGCTAGAGGTAATTCCCACTACCGTCTCCTCAACCTTTGAGTTTAAATAACGTTACTCCTCTTCTGCGCAGATCCCACGTTCTTCAGCTCTCAAGTCTCAACCTTCAACTGTATATATACCGAACTCTCCTTGCTGAAGAATCCAACGTCCCCACTCGGAGCCCTCATTCGTCACCAATCTCCACCTTTTTTACAGAGGTAAAATCACATTCCCTCTTGTTTTTATCAGATTGAAGTTCAAAAAGCTTGATTTTTCTCTTTTTTTTTGGGGCTGTATTTGTGGTGGTAGTTGATCGGTATTGATTCTTTTATGGGATGCATATACTTTTCCAGTGTCATACAACTACTGGGATTTTGAAAGTTTTTTTGAAGCACAGGTGGGCTGGAACCAGTTAAAGCAAGAAACTTTCTTGTTTTGAGAGATTAAATTTGATTAAAGTTTTCAAATTTAGTGATTTCAAGAACCTTTCTGATATTCTATAAATAAATAAATAAATAAATATATATATATATATATATTTTTTTTTTTTTTTGAAATTGGTGACTTTATCCAGAATGGCTGGGATCAAACCTGGTGTGCTAGCTCTGTTTGATGTGGATGGCACCCTTACCGCCCCGCGAAAGGTAGCTAATTTTATTTTTTTAGTACAAATTTATGGGTGGAGAGTTAATTATGGTGGTACCCATCCTTTTGTTGCATTAGTCGATTGTGATTCTTATCCTTTGAAGCATAGGGGCTTAGATCGGCTAGGCTCGAGTATAATATGCTGTTCTTTTATTTTCAAGAATTCCTTTTCAATGTCACATGGCTCATGTTGTGTTCGGTGGCTTGTTAAAATTGGAGTTTGACTGATATTGGGACTGTATCCTATTCAAAAAAATTGAGCTGCATTTGTATAGATAGAGTCCCTATTTCAACTCAAATTTCTATTTCAACGGAGAACTAAATGCAGCTCAGCTGAAGATTTCACTTCCTAGATAGTTAAGATGTTCATCACAGTCTTAAGAGGATATTATGTCAAAGTTTGACTGATGTAATGAAAAAGAACAGCATGCAAATTATACAATTAGAAAAGATTAAAACTCTTCTGGTTGTTTGTCAATTAATATGTCCATTGGAGCAATACCTTTTTTCTTTTTTTTTATTTCGCTTTTTGGCCTTTTTGGTAGTATGCCTGTTTAGAGCTTGATTTAGGTGGCAAGCTTCACAATACAGCTTAGCATCTTCGATGATCTTTGTGTCATCAATATTCATGGTTTGTTTTGCTAAAAACATTCAGGCAGCTACTCCTGAAATGTTACAATTCATGCAGAAATTGAGGAAGGTACGTCATTCGTTTCTGTAAGGCTTTTTTCTTTTGTGGGCTTCATTTCTCATTTCTTGACAATGTGCTCATTGAATGAGATCGTCTTAATTTTACAAAAAAAAAAAATTTTGTCTTCCTTCAGGTTGTGGCTGTTGGTGTTGTTGGGGGTTCTGATCTCGTTAAGATATCAGAACAGCTTGGAAAGACAGGTTAGGTCCAACAAGCCCTTTGTTTGTTTGTTCATTTAATGATATGATACCACTATACTGAGGTTTTTTTATCTTTTAAGTCTTATCCTTCCTGTTATTGAGGTTTTAGATCATGATCTTTTTCTTTACATGTTGAAACCCTATTCTCTGATATCATAATTTGAAATTGCTTTAAGCAGCTTTTTCTTCTCACCGCTCTCTACTCACACACTCTCTCAATTGTATTTCATGTGTGGTGTCTTTGATATGGATACACTTTGCAAATTTTGTAGAAACACTTGACCTATCTTTGAAGCTAACTGCTTATTTCACAATCTCAAGCTATTTGACTCGATATTGTCTATGCAGTTATAACTGATTACGATTATGTTTTTTCCGAGAATGGCCTGGTGGCTTATAAGGGAGGAAAGCTGATTGGAACACAGGTATTGTTAAGATATGGACCATACCATTCTACAATGTCAAATGGAGAAGTTGAACTAGCAGAAGGTTTAAGTTTGGTCCTGTTTGATTATTTGATTTTGTATTTCATCATCTGGAAAATGATAAAAGAAACTACAATTAGAAAATTCATTGGAGGATTAGAGAACAGATATCTCATGGGCTATACTCCATGATATGGTAAATGGACTGTACCTGTTTTGGTGGAAGAGTTTTTGTTTCCTTTTCTAAGGCTCAGTGGTTGGAATATGATCTCCTGCATTATCAACTGCAATGTCGGCAATCGTTTATTTCAGTGGATTGTTTCAATTGTAAAGTGGTACTCTCTTATTGGGTATGCATCCATGCATGGGATCAAAATCATAAAGTTTGGTCAAAATTCTTATATTTGCTGCCTTGGTGCTTGACAATACCCCTATTAGGACTCCTTGTGTGATAGAGAATTAATTCTTACCTGGAAATGAAAGAATAAAAGCTGCACAGATTTTGAACTCAAAACATATTTCATGAGATTCTCCCTCAAGCAGTAGCCATAATTTTGATTGGTGCTTGAACCATGATAAGATGAAATGCATTAGCTGGTAGCTCAATGTGAGGGCACTCTATGTATAAGTCTAAATCTTGAAGCAAGAAAATGAGGAGAAGTTATTTTGTTTTTCTTTCTGTTTGAAGAATTATCAGGACTACTTGTAGACTAGCTGCCATAACAGTTTCCTCTATATCTTGATTATTCACCAGTATCTTCGAGCACTAAGTTTTGCCCTCTCCGTGCAGAGTTTGAAGTCATTTCTTGGTGAAGAAAAGCTCAAGGTAGTTCGATTCTCTGTAATGACAATTATGATTTGAAAAACTAATGAAAAGTAAAATAACACATCAATAATGTCGGATAATGCTTTGGCATCTAGATGATTGTTGGAAACATCTGATTGACTGTGCACAACTTGTTCCATATTATTAGAACTACTTTGCAGACAAGGTTAGGACTTTGTCATGTATTTTCTGATCCCAGAAGCTCTTTAATTGAAATTGATTGCTAGTCACAAGGTTGCTTTTTCTCTAGGATTATAGAAAATCTTGTTGTTACTAGTTTGATAGTTTATATTCGTAATACTCAGAATGCGATGCTGCAGGAGTTTATTAACTTCACGCTCCATTATATTGCTGACTTGGACATCCCAATAAAAAGGTTAGCAAAGCAATGACTGTGCTGTCTTTCTCTTCATTGCTGCTTTTTTTTAATTTTTTTTGGCCCTTATCCATCAGATTCTTCATTTATGTTTGTCTTTACCTTCCACTTTCTCTTCCTTACAGGGGTACATTCATTGAGTTTCGAAGTGGTATGCTTAATGTGTCCCCAATTGGGAGGAATTGTAGTCAGGAAGAAAGAGATGAGTTTGAAAAATATGACAAGGTATTGGTCTGCTTTTCCTCTACTACGGAGCATGAATTTTAGATTTTATTCTATCATTGCAGAACATTTGCCGAATGTTGATTTCGATTTGAATGACATCTAGGTTCACAATATACGTCCAAAGATGGTCTCAGTGCTAAGGGAGAAATTTGCACATCTTAACCTTACCTTTTCAATTGGAGGACAAATTAGTTTTGATGTGAGTGGTTGTTGCTCCCAAATTTATCCAGAATGCCATTCCCAAACCCAAGCCCCCCTCCCCAGCGTGTTTACTTGGAAAATAGAAAAACAAATTGTTAAATGTTTTTTATGGAAAAAATGCATGACAGGTTTTCCCTCAAGGATGGGATAAGACATATTGTTTGAGATACGTTGATGAGTTTCCGGAGATTCACTTCTTTGGTGACAAGACATACAAGGTGACTTTGGATTCATAATTAACAGTGCAATTTACCATAGAATAAATAGCTTCTCCTAATTTTAATGCATAGCACTTGTTTGACATCCCTTCTCCTGCCTGCATCCATCTCCCAGAAAAATGAAAATGAAAAACCTACAAAACTCTGGTATGACAAAATTAAGAGGTTTTTTCTTATTTGTCCTTTTTCCTTTTTCCCTTTGACAGGGCGGAAATGATTCCGAGATCTATGAATCTGAGAGAACCGTGGGACACACAGGTCTACCATGCTTGTTTAATTTATTTCTAGAGTACTCAAATGTTGCTTGCAATGGCATTCTTTTAACTTTCAAATCATGTTAACTATTATTATACTTCTCCTGTTGTCATGTTGCCTTCGAGTTTCTTTTCAAACTAATTTAGTAAGCTTTCTTTTCAGTTACTAGCCCGGATGATACAGTAAAGCTGTGTTCAAGTCTTTTCCTGGGCTAGGAGGTTGCAGATTCTTGACCATGTTGCATACACTTGGCTTTTCAGTTGTTTCTAATCATTTATAAAGTGGTCTTAAGTTGTGAAACTTTCCATCTACCCTGTATTACCATTCTTATGTATGTTCAAGTTGTAAAATTTTGCCTTGTAATCTGTGGATTTAGTAAAAATTCCTTTCAAACAATAACCTTTTGCTAAACAGTATTTATTCTGTGCTATGTAATGAAGAATAAGAGGAAAAAAGACCAAGGCCTTTTTCTAGCACAGTCTGGTACAGATTGCTAATGCAAAATCTTTGGAGTGTATGATCTGCCATATCTAATGTATTTATATGAATTTCCACCAGGCTGATATATATATGCAAGCAAAACCAGGCATGCTGATTTGCTGATAATCCATCCTCTTCGACACTTTATCTGTTCATTACTTCTCCCTGTATCAAGAAAAAATATAGGCTGAAAGCCGTGGAAAAATTACCTGGTCTGGAGGATTAACTTCCTCCATTTTGTATAAAGACCATTAGACCTTTTTCTCACGTTTGGAACTTTGGATACGAAAGAATTGAAAAGAAAAGGAAGGATGTCAGATCCCTTCCAAGTCAAAAAAGCTATCCGCTCAAAATCGGACGAAAACGTGAGAAAGTGGTGTGGGGTAAATGAATTATTGCATGTACCACCACTTTTACCTTAAGAGGATTACAATCTAATAGAACACTCGTGTAAGTTTAAGATCTAATGGTCTTTATGTAAAACACACATATCTTTTCTCCACTTCCGAACAAAGGAAAATTGCTTCATTCCCATTCTCCTCCAAAACGCCCAAATAACATGGAAGATATTACAATCTTTTCGATTCGTTTCTTTTCTTTTCTAACTTAAGATTTCTCTTCTCTTCTTTTCTTTCCTAGACTCCCAAACTGGAATCATGGCAAACAACGTGCAGTACATTGTTCACAGAACTCATGATACTGCACAATTCTGGGAGCTGATCGGTGACAGTTACCTAGAGAAGCTAAGAGGAAGTATCCAACATGCTAGTAAGTTGGGTATGTCCAGACTGGGTAAGTTGGATATACTGTTGGCTGGATGGATGTAGTTCCATAAGTATATTCTTCTTCTTCCTCCTCCCGGTTCCCAAGCTCACCAATTGGGATCACACTAACAAGTTCAACAGATCCCAGCTTTTTCCTGAGCAAGGAGGTCAAATTAACTGCATCAATTCCCTCACCAACTACCACTATCTGGTCCTTGTTTTCTCCTTGTAGAGCCACTCTTTCAATACCTGAACCAAGAAAGTAGAAATTATCAGTACAAACATTACTTTTCTATGTATGTCTAAATTCTGAGGGGACAAGTTTTTTTTTTTGTGAAAAGGAAAAGGAAAAAAAAACCTGCTACAGAAACTGTAATTTGCATAGCTTTGGATAATTGCTTCTTCTTTGCGCAGTCTAAGACCCTTATAACAATTCTTTGCTGCATTTAAGAAGTACAATCATGTAAGTATTCGTAGGAAGAAATGAGACAGCACCAATGCAAACTATAAAATGGTTTCTAGCTAGTGTTGGCTTCATAAATCGTACCTGCATTTCGTGCTTTGGCGTGCGACTGCAACCAATACTAAGAGAGAGAGTGTGTGTGTATGTATACGAATTACAGAACTTTAGGATTCTTGTGCTGTAATCTACAGAGATGCTTCATCAATATATATAGCAACCGCAAACAAGCAAACCCCATAACTTAGCCTCTTTAAAGTTTAAAGTTTGACCACCATCCCACCTTCCGTCTTCCTTTAAAGTTTAACCACCATCCCACATTCCCACCTTCCTTCTTCCTTTCCCATCGCCTTTTCTCGAAAAGAAATGGTCAAATGTTTGACTCAACCAAGTCAATTTGGTCAATTTTTCAAAGCAAGCAGAGAATAAATGTTAAAGGTATAATTTTAGAAACCTCCCTTGAGGTTTCTAATAATTGCAGTCACCTCCCCTAAGGTTTGAAAAATATAGAAACTTCCCCTAAAAAGTATATCTTGGTAACAATTGATGATATAAATAAAAAGAAAAAAGGAAAAAAATCTAATGAATATCCAATATTACCCCTCTCTAATATGTAAAATGAATTGAATGCAAAAAAGTCAACTACCACCATTATTCGTTAGGTGAAATTTTCAAGTTTTTTTTTTTTTGTTTTGCAAGCAAATTTAAGTCATGTTTTGAAAGCATTCTTTTTTTTTTGTACTCTAGACATAATTTTTGGTTAAGTAATATTTGAAGATATTTATTTTAACAAATGCCTTCCTAGTTGGTCGATCGACTTTTTGTAAATTGATTAATAAAACTAGTAAAAAATTTTGGGAATCAAGTATATTGTATTATATTAGATGCTATTAGAATTTTAGAATAAAGAAGTATTACCAAAAAGGAATTTTCATTTTTCTCTTTTAAACTCGTTTTCACTTAAAATTTGTAAAGTTTGTGAAAGCCATTATAGTCTTTTTAAAATATCAAAAGATGTAAGTGTAAATTTTCAAATCTTAGAAAAGGCGGTTGCAATTGTCAAAAACCTTGGAGGAGCATTCTAAAATTATTTAAACTAGCGATTGAGCCACACTTGATGCACGTGCAACTTATCAAAAAAAATTTTAATTGAAAGAATCACATAAATAGTGCAAGTGAAAATAAAATAAAATAAAACCGTTGATAAGGGAGAATGTGAGAATTGGAGGGGGTACTTTTAGTTAAGTAAGATTTGTGTGTGAGTTGATAATATAGATGAGAGTTAATGAATTATAAAGATAAGGGTTAATTAAAAATAGAGATAAGTATAAATTTGAAAATACACAAAGTTAACACCAAATTAACTATCAACACAGGCTTTATTATTGTAAAGACGTTAAATTGTCCAGTGATATGATTTTTCCTCCGTAGAATAACAAGTGAATATATTCGTAATGGGAAAAATATTAATATAACATATACCTAATTCATTTATTAAAAAAGAACTCCCTAAGGTTTCTGTTGAGAATGGCACAGAAACAATGATTAGTTTAAAAAAAAGTTTGTTATCTTTGATTAAAAAAAAAAAAAGGTTCAAGAACCATGGTGGGCGATGGTGGTTTACAAAGGACAACTATACAAGATTAGAGCAGGGAGAAAATGATCAAAGGAAGAAAGAAGTTAAGTCGGGTCAAGCTTTAGTAATAAACTAGAGTGGCCGGTGCAAAAAGCAATGTGTTAATCTATTAAAAAATTTTAAAAGAAATGCGCAATGAGTTTTGAGAAATCTGAGAATTGATATGGTTTACGGTTCACCAAATAAAAATAGAATAATTAATAAATTTACTATTGCATAATTAAATTACTTTCATAACAATATGAATAAAAATTAACAACCTTAAGCATACTTTCAAATGTCATATGCAAAATTGAAAGTGCTAATATGCAAAAGTTAGTGTAATGAAACAAATGTTCACTTTAGTAAATCATGTTTACATATATATATATATATATATATATATATATATATATATATATATATATATATATATATTTTTTTTTTTTTTTTTTTTTTTTTTGTGTTCAAGGAAGACTTCAAACATTACAAAAGGAAAACAAAAAAAGGGGGAAAGTTTGAAAGCCAAACTGTTTCGGGTTGGATTACTTTTGCTAAACAACCACATTTAGAACATAAATAAAATTACTCTTAAAAGTAGTTAGTTAGAACTGTCAATGGGGTTGGATCAACACAAACTCAACTCGTTCAACCCAAAAAAAGCTTGATAAGCCTGATCTTTCAGTGAGCTTGTTTAAGGTTGGACCTAAAAATCATATCCAAATTAAATATGAACCAACCTTGGGTCTCATTAGATTCAAATCCGATATAAGCCCGACCCATTAATTACTTATATATTTAATATTTATATTTTGATATTATATTACTAAATACTAAATATATACAAATTGCTAAATATAAAAATAGATATGAAAACTCTTCTATTAGATTTCTTGAGAGCCAATATTGCTAATGTAGAACTAAAGCTAACTTTTCTTATTGGTTGAGTAAATTTTTATATTGGTACAATATTAATTGATTTTTTTTCTAGAAATACAAATCATCAAGCATGTTTGAATTCAAGTCACAAAACTATGAAGAAATTCCAATCTTTGAAGATGTATTGATTTATAACCGTATATTTTATTACTATTTTTCATATACTTTGAACGAATTATATATAAATATTGTTAAAAAATTCTTGGTTTATGTACTTTTTAAGGACTATTACTTATTCATGTTTAGTTTTAATATTGTAATTATGTGAATGTTAAATTAGTTTTACAACTTAATAGTTATAGTAATGATATTAAAAAAATTAAGAAGTAATAAATGAACTTGGGCTAAATTCGAATAAGACTCAAAACGTGAATATTTTGTAAATTGAGTATGATCTTCACATTTATTAACTTGAAACTCATGACCCGAAACTTGAAAATGTTACAAATTAAATGAACTAAACTTGAGTTTATAAAATCTCGGTTCATATGGCCAGATTGACAAGCCTATAGTTAGTGAGTATCATTCTTTAAATTTAAGAGTAGAGTTTCCGACAATTAAAACACTTTTAACACAATCTCAAAATTTAGTACTTTCAGAATGATTTTTATGGTCCAAAAAATATATATATAACTTTAACCATTTGTTTTAAATTTTGAACTAGATGAAGAACTAAATATGTTTCAAATTTTCAAAATTACAAATTATCAAATAAAAAATTACTTGTACAAGTACGTATCCAAAATAATATGATTAAGCACTTAATACTTTGATCAACAAATTCTACTACTTAAAGTGACTAGCCAACTTAAACTTATACTTATTTACAAATTTCCTCAAACTTAATCTACAACTATAAAAATTTCACAAAATTTGGCAAGAAGTTTTATAATTTCGAGTAGTAGGAGTGTGGAATGAGAGCAATGGCCGGCGACGCGGCTGATCAGAGCCATAGATTCTTCGTCGCCGTTCACGTTGGTGCCGGATACCACTCGCCGTCGAACGAGAAAGCGCTTCGTTCCGCCATGAAGCGCGCCTGCCTCGCAGCCTCTTCTCTTCTCCGCAAGGTCTCTTTTATCTCTCCATTTTTTTTTTGGCATTTCACTTCAGACTTTAAAGCGTTGGTTGAGAATAAATTAAGAAAGTTTGGAGTCAATTTTAATCTCTAATTTAGTTCCAGTATACGTGCCAATGTGCTTAATTAATTCCACGTAGTGTTGCATGTAAATATGTTCGCTTATAAATATTATTCTCGAAATGTGATTTCTTTTAGGGTACTGGCCGATGTATTGATGCTGTTGTTGCTGCAATTCAAGTTTTGGAGGTTCGCATTTTTCTTTTCTTAGCCTTCTTGGAGGGTTAATTTAATATTTAAGTTTCATAATTTCGGATGTTTTGGAAAAGTTGAGTTTGTCAGCTTCAATTTTCATAAGTTGGGATTTTTTTGAAGTTCAGTTGTAAAATGCATCGTCTGGCTTGCCAGAGTCTTGGGATGAATTCATATAACCTTATCCTTGACTCTTCATATCTGTTGTGTTTGGTGCAAATTTCAGAAGTTGGGATTTCTTTCTGAGTTAGTAATAAAATGCATGATTCTGTTGGCGACAAAACTAAAATGCATGATTCTGTTGGCGATTTAGTTTTATCATCAGTCAATATAACTTAATTCTTCGTTTGCTTCAGGAATAGTCGTCTGATAACTATTAGACGCTATTTCATTTCTTCAAGGGACCACTAACTGTAGGGTATTACAAACTAGTGAACTACCAAAGTGACCGGTGTTTTTGATTCCTGGTTTAGTTGGACTAAAAGCATATTGCAGTGGAGTCAAGTTGTTTAGAGAAATACCTGAGCTAGGTACTTGATTTCTGATAGTCAGTAGGATCTCACAAGATTTGATTGGCGAGATGTTCTTTTGATTTGGAATTATTTTGTTTAGTGTTCGTTCTTGATCATGACCAAGTAGAATAGTGTGAAATAAGTGAATCAATCTAGTTGATGAATTTATGGTTGGACAACATTGGATTGACATTATTGCAAACAGGATGATCCTTGCACCAATGCCGGGAGAGGCTCAAATTTGACTGTGGATGGACATGTAGAATCTGATGCCAGTATCATGGATGGTGATTCTGGAGCATTTGGTGCTGTTGGAGCAGTGCCAGGTATTCCATAAGTTCCAATTAACGATATGGTCTATGTGTCCTTGTATGATACTTAACTGCACTGCATGATGAGTTCAAGTGCTTCCTTCCTTGAATATTCACTTTCCTGACTCACGTGCAAGTTGTGGCTTCTATGGTGCCTAAATAGATGTTCTTCTGATGATGATGACTGGTTGTCAGGTGTTAGAAATGCTATTCAAATTGCTGCACTGTTGGCTAAGGAACAGACTTCAGGTTCATCATTGCTTGGTCGAATAAACCCCATGTATGGCTAAATTGTACCTCTGAACCTACTTAGCCACAGAATAGCTTTTCTTTTGTAGCAATTCAGTCTAGTACATGTACTTCCTTGCATGTCTTTTATCCATAATCAGTAGAGACCATCTATTTTATGAAACCTTGAAGGACTCTCTATTCCATTTTGACACTATTCTTCAAAATATCCAGTAGACTTAATGATTAAATTATTGTCACTTTTGCCACACTGGGAAGTTGCAATATGAATAGAGCTAATACATTTATCAATCGGAAATTAGCCTTGCCTTTGCAGCAGTCAGTGAATCTCATGTCATCTGGGCATTGTACACTATTTAACTTTAATTTGCTTCCTGAAGGAGCCATAGTTTGTAATGCTTAGGTTTTTGGTTGGTGAAGGAGCACGAACATGGGCAAAGTCAAAGGGTATTGTCTTGCCAACAGTAACAGAGGCTGAAGAGGTGATTTCTCGTTTTGTGACTGGATAATGGTTTAGTTCCTGTAGTACAAGTTTTTGTATTTCATACTTGGATAAGGCTGCTATAGTTTTTCTATATTATGTATACAGTGGCTGATAACAGAAAGAGCAAAATTGCAATGGGAAGAGTTCAGAAGGATGCTTTATGAAGCCAACGCCACTGAAGATGCTTCTAGAAAACTCACTGGTATCTCCAAGGAGACTGCTGTCATATCAGGTACACTTGTGTAGTTGTCTATGAATATACCTGGACTTGGCTACAAGTTTCATAGGATTACTTGGTGAAGGATGGATTCTAGGTACCTTTTGGGGAGCTTCATCTGATCCTTCGTTATCTGAGGAACATGGTGCATAACTTATCTTTATCCTTATTCAAATTGTTGTCTTTTAAAAATTTCCGTTAAATGGACAATCTGAGTTACATGCTATGAAGATTCTCTTACCAGTATCTGAAATTTTGCTTTGGTTTTTAGTAGTTCTCTGTCGAAAAAAAAAATGTGTCCAATCTTTGTGCAAAACAAATATTTTATATATTTCTTTAAGCATTGGCAGGTTGATGCAATTTGTGCCTCCATATTTAGCCAACTTTCAGGTGACTAGCCAAGAAACCCGTTTCCCCTGCTTTTGGGGTTGTGATCGCTATTGGCTAATCGCTCCCCTCCTGCCTCTGCAGCCCTGGGAAAAAGATAGAATCTTAAAGCTAAAATATTTGTTGTCAAATGCTGTGGCTTTCTAAGCGTGTTATTTGGTGATTGAATTTGAGTTCTTGTTCCATAACTAGAGCCTCAATCCTGTGATCATTTGAACGGAGAGGAAGTTGATGCTCAATCTTCTAAACATAATGCACTAGAAGAGGGTAGTGTTATGGATACTGTTGGAGTTATATGTGTTGATTCTGAAGGACACATAGCATCTGGATCCTCAAGTGGTGGCATTGCTCTGAAGGTGACACTTAGACACATGCAACTTTCATTGTAGCCACAATCTTTTTATCCCCAAAAGTTTAGTTACCATTAGCATTCCCATTCAATTTCAATCATCTGTGCCTCTGGGAGCTTTGAGCTCATATTATTCTGAAGATCAGTCACAAAGTCCAGTTAAGTTTATTAGATTATTGTCCTCTGTGGAAGACTTCCTTGGATAAATGTGTTCTGGGTGTCGGCATCTGATGCCGTATAAGCATGAGCAGGAAATGGGGAGGCAGTGCTTTCATTAACACTCGTAATATGTTTAGTCTCTTGAGGATTTCACACTTTTCATGGATATCTCTCTTTCTAAACCCAGGTTTCAGGTCTAAATAAAATGAAAAGTACATAACAATTAATAGATATGAGCTTCATGTCGCCAATAATTTGACGTAATTGCTTATCTCGATGTTCTTCCTAGTGGCTTTAGATTTGCCATATCTTTTAGATGACAAAGTTTTTATTTTAGGTTTCACATCAGATTTTATCATCTAAAATGTTAACCCAGAAAATGTATGACAGGTTAGTGGACGGATTGGATTGGCAGCGATGTATGGTTCTGGTTGCTGGGCATCCTCAAAAGGACCTTTTGGAGCACCTTTTATAGTTGGTTGCTGTGTTAGTGGTGCTGGAGAGCATCTAATGAAAGGATTTGCTGCCAGAGAATGCTGCATATCTTCATCTTTGTACGTGTTACAACTTACTTTATTGATCATTACAATTCAAACCTTGAGGAAGATGGGATAAATTGTTTTATATTTATTTTTTATTTTTATACGAGGTATCAATGTATTAGGGAATTATTGGTAAATGTTGAGCTGTCAAGTTTTATTTATTAGCTCAACTTTTAGTTTCACTCAGTCCTTCTCTTAGCTTGGTTTCACTTCTCCCCTTAGGATTTCAGTTAATACTTGTGATATTGTTCTCGTTCCTTATCTGTAAATCTAAAGTTAGGGCATTAACTTTTAACAAAATGAAAATGAAAATTGACCTTAAAAGAATAGAACTGAGTATTCGTTTTTACAACAAAGGGAAAAAGAAATTGCATGAGCTGTATGTAGATGGTTTAAGATGCAGATCACTGCAAAGCATTTTATGGAGTAGAAATTGGGAATAATTGCTTTATCTTCTTATAAGTTTCTAAAATTTTAATTGGGTGGATATTGTCTAAAAAGCAACCTACAGGAATTTAGTGGTGAACTTAATGGATCCTTCGTATTATAAACACATCTAGTTTTGTTTGTGCTGCATTTTTACCAAGTAATAAACTGCTTTTAGCCTCTGACTATGATCAGTTAGACAGTCTATTCATTCCAGAATGTAAGTTATCTACCCAACTTCAAGCTAATGACTTATCCAAGGCTCCCTTATGGAAAAATCCAAGTACATCAAATTCTTATGGTCGGGGGTATGTTGCATATTTCCTTGGTGTCTGCTAATTCTAATCCATGCTTTTGGATAATATGGAATGTGCTGTCAATGGTTTTGGTTCCTTGTTTTGGGTAGTAAGAATGATGTATATCCAGTTTTGCCCCAATGTTAATATTTGTTTGGCTACAATGCAGATCTCGGGCTGGTCCAGCCTCGGCATGCACAAAAGTATTGCATGGCATAATTCAAGAAAAAAGTCAAAGGATGACTGATATAAGTGCTGGGATCCTTCTAGTTGAAGCTGATGCTCCTAAACTGGTATATATGTATATATAGTCTGTGTTTTCCCTATATCATTTGTGTACGTTTGATAACTTCTGAACTGTGGTGTCAGGCTCCTGGGGGTTCACCACAACTGAAGGCTGTTGAGATGGTAGCTGCATATACTTCCTTGTCATTTGGTATAGGTTATTTTGGAAACAATCTGCAACGCCCCAAGGTAGTCATTCATATGTTTATGTTGGTACTTGATGTAATGGGGAACATTATCTGGTTCATGGAGTCCATTTTATCAGTTTTTTTTTTTGGAAAAATTATTAGAAATGATCTCTTGACAGCAAAGCTCTGATAGATTTGTTTGCCTGCAGTGTTTCATAACTAGATGATGATCACAGAAACTAGCATTGAATTTCGATCCTCTGTGTTTTTCAGTACTTCATACTCCCTTTTTCTTTCTGGAAACTGCATGTTTATGAATTTTGTCAAGGATGATCAATTTCAGCAATTGATTTAAGTAGTGTTTGTTAGTTGATGCAATAGCTTCATGATCCAGAGCTTCAAGATCCCATAGTCAAGTAAATTATGCTTTCTGTCTGTTATAGGGTCGATACAAGGGCGCCATACCAGAAAGCTGTACCTTTTTAATTCTTACTGACATCGGGTTATCGTCTTTGTCGTCAATTGACAGGTATCAATACTTCGAAATATGAGGCAGAAGAATGAAGCTAAAATAGATCAGTTTGCAGCACGGGTTAATCTTGTGGGCGAGAATCAGACGACGTAGCTGTGAAGTAGAAGAAAAGAGTAAACTCAGGCAAAATGACTCTGCTTTTGGACCTGGTGATGTTGTGCACTGCCGAAGACTTCTATCTCTACGTATCAGTAGATTGTTTCCAATCTCCGGAGGAGGCATGCTTCTCTAGTAGTAGCAATCCAAAATTAAAGAGAGAGACTCAATCCTCGCCGAGAGAGATGTTTTAGGAAGTGAACCTGTAATAGTGAATCCAGGTGACGTGAGTGTATTTGGATAGGAGATTATTTGAAATAATTATTAGAGCACTTTTTATAATAGTGATGTATGTTAGATAAAAATGTTGTTGAAAAGATAAAAAGTTGATTAGAAATTGTAATTGTGAAACAAGCAAAATAATAGCGATCCAAAACTTGTTTTTCTTCTTCACCTTATTTGCACTTCCACATGTTTTATCAGTTGTGACAGTGGATGGTAGAACATTATTAGAGCTTGTCGAGCCTTAGTGGATGGATTTGGGTAAAACCCATTTTGACGGCTCTACTTGATGACTGGCAGCAGCACACTCCGCTATGGTACATTTGCGGAAAGCCTGGCGAGGACCACCTCCCCACCCAAAAGCGATCGGGCCAGATTAACAAATGCGATCGAGAATCATTACCAATATTTCAAAAAATTTTCTTTGGCAAGTAATTCAGACTTGCCTGTTAGTACCTTTTCTGCTTGATTGTGATGATTAATATAGACAAGCTACACAAGCATAAAGCAATACCGTATGTAAAGATATCTTGAGTCTATGGAATGACAATTTTGATGAAACTAAAATAAAAATTTCACGTAGACAGCAGGATGAATTCAAAATAAGTGCATGCAACCAGAAAATCAAAGAAAGAATACAATGTGCATGTAAATATAACTAATCCTGATATTGATAATGTTACCAAATCAGAAGCCAGTGCTTCTCTTCATGGGCAAAGAGTGAACACAAAAATGCAATCTTAACTTGAAAATAGGATATCCTATTTTTCATCTAAAAGGGTGGCGTCCTCATGGCTCGTTTGTTGTTCGCTTCCTTCTTAAAATACCCATCTTGCACGGTTCTGTCTATATGCACATCATTTACCAATTAATAAGCTCGACCAATTGCTCTTCATCATTTGAAAATACTGAGCCAAATAAGATGCTTCTTGCTCCAAAGGACTCCCTATATGTCATCTCTATAATAGCTGCATAGATTTTGCTCGGCAAAAAGGCGGACAAAATTTTATTTTTGGTGCCCTACATGGAAAGAAGATGGGAGGAAGTCGCAACAAAGGACCTGCACTTGTTTGAAGGAGGGCCTCTGCCTATTGGGACAAGAGGTCATGGTGAAAATATCAATTGAAGTTGTGAATTCTCTTTGCAGATATCAGAGTATTTGACAGCAGCATTGCTATTGTCATAGGACCAACTCCGCCAGGAACAGGAGTGATAGCAGATGCAATTTGCCTAGCCTCATCATAACAAACATCACCAACTAGCCGATAGCCCCGAGGGCTTTCAGAATCCTGTCACAGAGGCACAACCAAAATTACCTTGTTATTAAAGCATGCAAACAAATTCCACACTGCAGCTTAGAGGTTTTAAGCAAACAAAACATTCAAGGGGCACTTGGAGCAGAGGAAGGGGGAGGAGGGATTGAGGCAGTGGAAGCAAAGTGCCCAATGACAAATGAAGATACCCCACCTCAACTGGATTTATCCCAACATCAATAATAACTGCACCAGGCTTTATCCAGCTACCCTTCACCATATTTGCTTGTCCTACAGCTGAGATGATAATATCAGCTTCTCTAGTAAACTCCTCAGGATTCTTTGTTCTAGAATGGACAACACTCACAGTTGCATCTTCCCTCTACCATCCCAAAGTACGAAGGGAAAAACAAAAATTAAAACAATTCAATCTACTAACAGGGAAAAAAAAAACAGTGATACACTAGCTCGTAAGGTTTTAATTGAAAGATTTCCAGCCAGAAATAATCTTACTTGTAGCAATAGAGCAGCAGGCATCCCAACAATATTACTCCGGCCAATAACAACTGCTCTCTTCCCTTTGATAACAACACCATATCTATGCAACAATTCTATGCATCCTTTAGGCGTGCAAGGCACAAATAGTGGTTCCCTATCTCGCATGGCAAGACGTCCAATGTTTAGTGGGTGGAATCCGTCCACATCTTTTTCAATGCAAACAGCATTTAATACATTCTGCTCGTTGATGTGCTGTACAGGATCCATGAAGACAGGTGTTAAAAGTGACCTCAAACAAGAACTTATAAGTTAACATTAGTAACTTCCGAGTCTCTTACTATAGAATCTTAAGTTGTCCTAAACCATTTTTATAAAGCAGTCAATCAATTTACAATTTACAGATAATGAAGGAAGCAGAGAATAAGTTCAATTTGCGTTGAGCAATGAGAGACAAATATAGAAACACAAGATAATCATAATGGTAAACATGTATAGCTCTCTAGTCCTCACTCATCAAAAGGAATAATTTTAATGGTCCCAAAATGTTATATTGAAGAAATGAAAGTCCAGGGAAAATTATAAAGGACACAACAAAGTATTAGCTATATTGTAATTCACAAACATCCATTAAGAATAGTTCACTTCAGTGCAATGCTTCATTTACAAAAGAAATTAGCTCTACTTTAACTTGACTCAAGATAGCAGAGGAAACATTGAAAGTAGTTTACTTTTTTTTTTTCCTTATCATTTCAAGAACAACCCATATCATTATACAGGCCAAAAAAATGTAGATTCAGGCATATTTTGCAACCGAATTTGATCCAAAAAGGACAAGAAATATTGATATTCAAAACCATACAGAAGGTAAAGGTAGCTGAACAAGGATGCCATGAACCGCAGGGTCATTATTAAAACTTGAAATATGCTTAAGCACTTCTTCTTCTGCCGTGTCTTTAGGCAAACACGCTTCAAAAGATTTAATTCCTGCGTCCTCACAAGCTTTCTTCTTGTTGCGAACATAAGTTGCTGAATCCTTCCTGTCCCCAACTAGGATCACTGCCAGCCCTGGAACGACGCCTAGTGCCTCCTTCATCTTAGATACTCCTGCTGCTACTTCCTCTCTGATTTCTTTAGCAACCCTTTTTCCATCAATAACTTTAGCAGAAGCTTCAGTAGCCATAGCAGCTGATTAACAAAATTCAAGAAACATTAGGAAAAAATAAAGCAAAAACCCGATGAAATTCAATGAAAAGACAAGAAACCCACAATCACAAAATGTTGAAGACGTGATTTTTTTTTACTTAATTGTCAAATTTTATCTCAAGCTGCATGCATAATCAAGGAAAGACATAAACTTTGATTTTCAAAAACAAAAACGAAGCTTTATGAGCAATTCATACGAAGTTGAATTGTACCAGCAATGAACGAAGGACGGTTGATAGTTTGAGAGAAGACAGTTGTGGGATTTTTGCACGGACGCAGATGGACATGACGGAGGGGGTTGAAGCGGCGGTGGAAGTGAAAAGCTCTGCATTTGGAGGAGGTGGTGGCGGTAGTCAATGGGAGGAATCGACGAGAGGAGGAGGAGGAGGAGGAGGAGGAGGTTGAGCAGCCGGAGAATACGAGTTTTGAAGTGGTAGACGACGTCGTCGTCATGGAGGAGGGCGATGCCATGAATGGCCGAAGCGATTGGAGCTGCCTGAGTATCAGCCCTATGCTTGCTGATGCTTTAATCCCGCCTTTGTTGCTTTTAGGGTTTAATGCTTTTGTAGCTGTGTAGAAAGTACAGTTTTACAACAACTGAATGAAATTTTACAGAGCCAATTGAGAAAGTTTCTCCCCCGAAAGGAAAAACATAAGTTGTCTGCTTCTTTTCTTTGCTTCAAATTACTTTCTCACCCAAAAGAAGATGGGTAAATTTTTTGAGTAAATCTGTAGATTTAGATGGATTGTGGATCAGTGGATCATATACTTCGAAAATTTAGATGCTTTGTTAGTATTAAAAGTGGCAAAATGGATATATGGTTAATAAATGGTTTTAGTTAAATGGATAATGGATCAAATTGATCCAATCCAATTAAAATCACTTAATAAATTGATCTAAATGGATGTCATTTAAATGGATAGTGTAAACCATGATCCATCCATTTATCCATTTACTCTCCCAAATCTTAAATTTAAGATCCAAATATTTTTTTTTCAAAAAATACATATCCCCAAAGTTCTATCCTTAAATCACCTAAAATCTTTTGGTAATAACAAATGCTTGTACTATACTCTATTTCAGTTCTTCATAAAATTAGTTTAGTTCAAAGAAAATTTAACTGATGTGGTCAATTTAACCTCTCATCATTACTTTAAGTATCATTTTGTAAAGTAATGAACAATTAAGAACTTCGCTACATTTTTATAACTTTTGGGTGAATTGAATACGGCTTTACAGTGAAAAGAAGTTTACGTTTCCAATTTTTACACTCCTGTTCAAGAGGGATGCCTTGAATAAAAGTGGAGTTCTAATAAAAAATCTTATGTTATTTAACAAGTAAAATTTTTCATCACATGTGCACGTAGTACCTAAAAATGTATGAAACTCCTTATTATACTATTGATATACAAGCTACATTATATTACTTAGTAAATTAGGTGTCTTTTTTTTTTTTTTAGTGGGGTTGGGTAATAAGGGGAGAGGGATTGTAAGTATGAGAATTTGGATTCAAAACCTTCAATTTATTAAAAAAAAAAATAAAAGAAGGTGTCATTTACGTTTCTTAACCAATATTGCGGGGTACTCGTTAGAAAAATTCTTTTTATAAATAAAAGAATTAAAAAAATGAAAAATTATTTTAACTGGACCCACCAAAACCCATCAACGGCCGTACATTGCATCACATGTCCTTTACAATTTTGAAAGTCCATTTAGCCCTTGTATACAGGGACGCATGCTTGACAAAGTAGTTCTTTGATTGGTTAAAGGACTTGGAAGTGAGGCATCATAGCAGGGACTCCAGATTAAACTCCCATAAGGACTTTGGATGTTACCATGAATGAATGCATTTGGTCCATGTCTTTCTCCACCAGCGAGGATGTGAGGGTGGTGATAAAGTAGGGAAGTAGGTTCATTAACCCTGCAGATCTAGTTTTCAGCTAGAGTCTCATGTTGATTTTGCCAATTTTTATATTTTCTGGCAACAAATCATTTGCCTTAAAATTTAACAAATACAAATTGGCATCTATTCAATTGGGGAAGGATTTCGCATGTCTTGTTGTTTGGAAAAGTTTCCACTCATGTTTCCAGAATACCTTTTCATTTATTTTCTATTTCTCCACTGGAATATTTCATGTTACGAAAATACACTATTCCATGTGCAAATGGATTCTCGAATTATAGGTCTTTTATACTGTTACATAGAAATTGATCAAACTTTTGAATGCTCTAATGCTTTACTAGGAGTTTTATTGTCAGGAAGAGAATGCATTATGTCCCTTTGTTTGTTGTTGGAATGTGCAAGTTTTGCAGGAAGATGTCATAAACGTTCTCACATGTCACTGATTATGGAAGGTAGAAGTTTTGTGGAGTCACAACGTGTAAAGGTGATAACAAATCTTGCTTTCAGTGCTATGTTACGGGCTGGTCAACTTTTGATCATGAAGACACAATGGTTCATATCCAGAAATTATACGAATTTTGAGCACAATACATGGAAAGATAATCTTTCTATCCAGATTATATTAGACTTACTCTCCAACAAGTTAAAAGTTAGCAATATGTGCTGTTGATGACATTAAATTTGTCTGTGCTGATTGCCCGATAGTTAGGCTTGACTAGCAGGCTTGGCTGAGTGAATCTAATTTGTGTTTTCTTAGCCCTTTAAGTGTAGTGTTATGAGATGGCTTTCTTATGGGTGATCTGATTTTTTGCTTAGTGTCTATTTCTGTCTGTTGTTCTTTGACAATGCACCATATTGCCTGAAGTGGCTCTAGCTTATTTTTACATATCATAATATAACATACTTTGAGGAGCATAGACGAGCAAAGGGGTTTATACAGACATATATACAATGTTTTCATGGCTTGCAACTGCACTTGCATTGGGGGAAAGTTATGTATTGTAAACTCCGTAATGACAAATTAATTACCTTCCAATGGTATTATCCACATGAAAACCAAAGCCATTCTCAGATTTCCCTGTTTTATGCATTTCAGCAAAGCTTCCTGCTTATTACAGACTGTAGACTGGTGATTCAAGTTCAATGAAAATCCTTATACTATATAAGAACGAGTTTAGGACTAGATTTCAACAGTAGGGGTGAGGCTATTTTGGGAATGTGAGAGTGTTTGAAAAGTAATTGGAACATTGAGTACAAGTCATTATAGCTTTAATTTCACTATAATTACTTATATAACCTTTCAGACATTTAAGGTTAGAGGCAAGTTTGATATGTTACAATGTTTGGTGTCAAGTTTAGTATCAAGTACAACTTAATAAAGATTTTATTTTGATAGAATTACATAAAAGTCCTTTTAACCATTTATTATACTAACATCCAAACCTTCCAATTTCCTAAAATCTTTCTCATACGTTAAGAAATTAATTGGATGTTTATCCTTATACTACATAAGAACGAGTTTAGGACTAGATTTCAATTGTAGGGATGAGGCTATTTTGGAAATGCCAGAGTGTTTGAAGAGTAATTGGAACATTGAGTATAAGTCATTATAGCTTTAATTTCATTATAATTACTTATATAACCTTTCAAACATTTAAGGTTAGGGGTAGGTTTGGTATGTTACAATGTTTGGTGCCAAATTGATTATCAAGTACAACTTAATAAAGCTTGTATTTTGATAGAATTACATAAAAGTCCTTTTAATCATTTATTATACTAACATCCAAACCTTCCAATTTTCTAAAACCTTTCTCATCCGTTAAGGAATTAATTGGATGTTTACATAATTCGATTTTAATTACAATTAATTAATTTAATTATTATCTGAACAATCATTATCATATTTATGTCCCCATGTTTAGTTGATACCCTTTCTTCTTTTTTGGTTTCACCTCTTTGATTTTATTATGGCTATTAAATATTTGGTGGAATGCATAGCTTTTCCTTTAAATTGAGGTGAGTCCTTTGAGTTTGTCTTCTTCGATTGTAATTTTTTTTTCTGATGATTGGTTTATTCAATAACTCCATATAGTTTGCCTTTTGATACTTCTAATTCCAAAAACTGACTAATTGTATTATTTTTTTTAGTAGATCCCAGAGATTCTGTCTCTGGTCAAAGTACAATTTGAGATAATGTTGTCACTTTCTAAAATAATCAGAAAAGTAATTTTATCATCTTCTTCTCCTCAACCAAGGTATTATCTCTTTATTTAAATCAAATAACCTTATTTCTCATGAATTTTCTCCTATTATTCTTGACTTCAGGGATCCGTTGACTACATTCCAGCAGTTATGGTTCAAGTAGTTATTTTTTCATGTAATATGATTTGAAATTCAGCTTGTGTTTATTTTAATTGAAAATTTTATGATTATAAAATTTATTAACTTAGAATTTTATATTTCATTAAAACTAAAAAAGAAAATTAATCATGCTACATAGTACTAAGATGTCATTTGCACTTTATTTGCTTTCCATGTTATGATCTCGTTCTTGTATTATACTGTTTATATAGTTTCAAATACAAAAAATTTGTTTTTTTATGCTATGTAAAAGAATTTGTAGTGAAACTTGATGAGTTAAAATGCTTTAGCTACAGCACTATTTTGATTGCATTGTATTAATTCATTTACTCATAATTGTATGTTGTACAATGATAAATAGTTTCTTGATTTGATTGAAGCAACTATTATCCATAGTTCAAACAAGTCAATTAAGTAGAAATGTTATATTGGATACTTATATAAGTAAACATTAGAAAATATCATTAAACAGTTTTTACCTATAGTTTGCAATTCGAATTCATATGAGGAATTTCTTTTGATTTTACTTACCATTTTCTACAATTTCAAATTTAGAAAATATTATTTACACCAATTTTTTATAATCAAGATAGTTTCAATTCAGATCTTTAACAATTATGCAGATTTGAACTTATTTATGAGATTTTAAAGAAATGCCACTAACAAAAAACACCAAATATGAATAGTTTCTACAAAACTTTAAAAAAGACCATTTAAATTTCTTATCTATCTATCATTTTTGGGCATTATTATCTATGTAAGAAACATGTGATTAAGTCGTATTATACCTACCAAATTATATAAATAGTTAGTAAAAAATAAAATTATTTTAGATTATATTGGACGCAAAGTGATTGATGGATAAACTTGACTTGATAATTCAGGTTGAGTTTAAGTCGCGGGAGAAATCAGAAACATTACTTGAGGGATCTTTCACGAACATATATAGATTTGAGAGATGAATGATCCAATTGATACTTTAAAATGTTTTATCATCTTGGATAAGTTTTAGAAGAGACCTTTAGATACTTTTCAATTGCACTTCAAACATTCTTACATTTTCAAACTACCCTTATCTTTACAGTTGAAATTCAAACATAACCTTTGATTACAACAGATTCTTATATAGTATAACGATAAGGATGTCTTATTATACATTATTTTTATTGACTCACTATGTAACTTATGATTTTTCTATTAAAATCACATGATAAAATCATCATACTTCAGTTCATATACTACAAAATATTAAACAATAATTATTAATTATCTTAAATCACAAGCACCAAATTCTCGCGCGTCGCGCGGGCTGTCCCTCCCTAGTATTAGATTCTAAAGTAGACATTTTCACAGTTATTGTTACTTTATCTCATTAATTGTAAAGGATGGTGCACTTTCATCGTCATTTAAATTTAGCATATTTTAAAGAATTAGCCATCTTGCAGGTTATGAAAAATATTTGTAGGCATTAATTGTCTCATCATGACAAGGATAAGTTAATTAATATTGGGATTTTTTTCCTAAGTATACTTAAATTATACTTAAGTAATCATTTGAATGCATTCACAATTATTTCGCCCATTTCATTTAACCTCTTTTCCAAATTAAATTTACTTTTACGAAAAAATTAATGTCTGATACCTCTCTTAATGTAGTGTTGAAAACATGACTCTTTTAATATCTCCTACCTCTTTTATCTGTAAATTTACTTTTACAAAAATAAATAAATTTAATTTCATCTCCTGTTTGTATAGCAATTTTTTGAAAATTTTGAAGAAAAATATATTATAATGATTTAATTTATGCGAGATTGTTATAGGATTTTCCTGTAACACAGATGCGTAAACAATGTCCAATAGTTACAAAGTGAAACAAGCAAAACTTATAAATATCTAATCATGGCATATGATAGTATTTAAAATATTTACTAGAAGTGCTAAATGAAAGCATAGAATAAGATTTTTATATGTCATCGATTGCTTATACTAATATTTCCATAATGTTTGATCATTCTTCTTTGCACGAATGCAAAACTAAAGAAAGGATAATTGATAAAATTTCATCTCATTTAAAGCAAAACGATTAAGTGTAAGGTCATGATAACTAAAAGAGATAATCTAGAAATGTTATTTTGCAAAAGAAATTAACTATTTATTTTGTTAATTGTGCAGGATTTTCAACACATTACAAAGTGAACAATTTGATGTATATAATGATGCTAAATGTCACACGTAAATCCAAATCTAGTCATTCAAAGTGGCATCATAACTCTGAAGTAATTACCAAATATGACCATGTTCAACAACAATAATATGTATATGACCAAAACCTATGTCGTCACCAGAGTTTACAATTTTACTTTTCCTTTCTTCTTCTCCTCACAAATAAAAGAAACTCAATAGACTGAAGTTGTTCTAATTACACAAAAGTTAGAACAACTTCATTCTTTCTTATAATAAACGGTGTCATCGTTTTCCATTTTTTAAATAGTACCAACTAGTTATAACAAGACAAAGAGCTGCCGAAAAGCATGCCGCGAGAATAATAGAGGAAGGAAGAAGGAATGAGCAGTCCTTACTTGATTACTTCTAGAAGCACCAAACGAAATAAATTCCATGATGATATATGAACCCCCTGTTGGAAGTGGACCGACCTAGAATTCCATTTTATCAAGTTTGTCATGTCAAATAACCTAACACTGAAGTAAAGGGCAGATAGTAAGTAATTGAGAAGCAGCCATTAAAATACACGATTTATAACCTCATCTTAAATGGTTCAGGCACACGAACTTTTCTAGTTTCATACATAGCATTCAAAGCTAAAGCCTCTCCCTCAAACATTGATGGTTCAACGCTCCTATTCAAATTTTGGAGTAATGTAAGAACATGAAAGCATGCATTAATCTCTTAGTTTTACAAGAAAAAATAAAAGAAATATATTTTGTTGGTCAAAAAACAAATGCAACATTCATGCTGTTTCATATTCTCTTCTTTTATCAAGTCTCAGATTCATCAATATGTTAGAAGCATACAAACTCATGCTACTTCGTATGGTATCATTACTTGTTTGATGAGTCATTGAAAAGGTGGCGCTGCTAAATTGGGAGAGAGATATAAGGACTGAATTAGGAAGAATAGGGAGAGAGATATAGCTTGAGGAGGACAAAACGAAATGTTCTGGACATGCGTCATTACATAATAGTCCATAATAACCTTCGTTTGGTTCAAAGTACAAGTGAAAATGAAGGAGGAGGCTACTTCTCCTCATCATTCATCCCACGCACAAATCTTACTGACAGTACGTTTAGTTGAAACGGATGGCTTCATGCACCTATACTACGACCGAAATCATGTTCATTCTGGAAATCAAATCCAGAATAAGAGAGCGAGTGAAATCAAATCCATTCCGGTATCATTCTGGAAAGAGACTATGTCGCGCAGCTTGTTGAGAAGAATTTTTGCCGTGCACCTTCCATTCCCAACTCCCAACTCCACCGCCTTCCACTACCACCATCCACCACCATCACCCCATTAAACTCTTTCTTTTCGTCCTCCCCAACTCCCCACCCCACTTTACTCCTTCCCGTTCCATCCAATTCCGATGGAAATCCAAACGGCCAACTGATCATTTGAAGCGAAAGGAGCTCCGGTTTTTAACTAAACAATGCCGCTGCAGAGAAGACGGATGCGGGAAATCTTTTAAAACTCTCAAACAACTGGATGATCATTATAAGCTTAAGCACAAGATTGCAGAGAAACATTTGATTCGCTGCACATGTGGGAGCCGCTTTCACTCAGCCCAATCACTGTCCGAACACAAGATGAGTGACTGCCCGGTAAAGGGTTTCAGAGATTGGAAGCACTATCGGAAATATGCTGCAAGCAACAGACAGAAAAAATATGACAGTCCAACAGACAGAGCTGGATTCTTAATTGTTCATTACTTTACAAAATGATACTTAAAGTAATGATGAAAGGTTAAATTGACTACAACAGTTAAATTTTCTTGAAAGTAAACTAATTTTATGAAAAACTGAAATAGAGTATAGTACAAGCATTTGTTATTACCAAAAAGTTTTAGGTGATTTAAGGATAGAACTTTTGGGATATGTATTTTTTGGAAAAAAAAAATATTTAGATCTTAAATTTAGGATTTGCGATAGTAAATGGATAAATGGATGGATCATGGTTTACACTATCCATTTAAATGACATCCATTTAGATCCATTTATTAAATAGTTTTAATTGAATTGGATCAATTTGATCCATTATCTATTTAACTAAAATTATTTATCAACCATATATCCATTTTGTCACTTCCTAGTTATAGTCATCAAGAATGCAAACCCGGGACAAATTGATTGCTCCTTCACTTGCGGAGACCCCAAGGTACTCTACCAAACCTCTCTCTCTCTCTCTCTCTCTCTCTTCCAAATTTTAGGCAAAAATGCAGAACCCATAATTATAAAATCAGATCCCGGCAATCCTGCTACTATGATTTGTTGTTATACATTTAGACTAGCTAGCTAAGGTGTGTATGAATGATTATTCTCAGTGTTAAAAACATATCAATCCATTTTGTTTTAATTATTTATTTATCTTTGTCAAAATCCATTTTGTCTTAGTTTTGTACTAAAATTATAATACTACTAAGTTTCATCTGTTGTAGGCAAAAACCTTGCACCAGCTTCATGTGTGAGAGCCGACTGCAATGGGCAATGGGCTTTCAGTTGTTGGATCTCTTTTCATATTCACAGGAAACTAGAGGCCCAGAAAACTAGAAGCAAAATCTAAAGCACTCTTACATTCATATTCAACACTCCATCATCCATCCATCCATCCATCCATCTCCATAGGAGGATCTCTTTTCAGACCACCAGCTGGTTTTGCAATTATAATCTGTATCGGGAAACCAGTACACAACACATAATCACAATTATTGTAAAAGATGACGAAAACTTCTTAACGTTGAAACATGAGAAGAACCATTTCCATCATTCTGTGGGTGGATCAAATGCACATGTTTTAGACCAAAATGCATTGCTGTGGATTTTGATGGAAAATATTGTTCTTTTTGCTGGTTGTAGCAATATCAAAGCAATTGAAAATATTGCATTGCACCTACTAAAAGTCAGATGAGATTTATGATCAAAATTTCCAGCAAAGGCATCCATAATTATTAACAACAGCAGCACCGTTTAGACCCTCCTTATGGGACCTTAGTGTCCCGAACTGAGGCAAAATAACTACAAGAATCTCCAACTATACTTAAATATTGTGGTTAACCCAAGCCTTCTTTTGAAACTAGTGATAGGGTATAGTATGAGCTTTTTAGCATGCCCAAGAAATCCTGTCATCATGCATGACTTCTGATCCACTTAGGAGATCTAAGATCTCCACACTTGGAAAGTCTCTGCAAATTCACCTATATCCTCACTTAGCCCCAGTAAGGGAAACTTCTAGGCAGTGAATTCAAAAGACAATCACACAACCCACAAAATAACTTGATCAACTGAAAACCTATACCTAAAACCATGGCCATCACCTACGCACCAATTACCAAGTAATCCTGCCAATTATTGCATATCCGCTCCATAAACTACATTGAATTCTCTACCACCAAGTGAAACTCTTTCATATTAAAAAAAAAAAGTCAACTAAATGCAGCATAAACCACAAAAATGGGTAATTCACCACCAGTATCATGACAACAACGTTACAAACAAGAAAAGTAAAGATGCCAAGAATGTCTTACCCGGTCTACACGCATGACAGTACAAACAGCATCAGCAGCATATTTGAGAGCAAAAAACCTATCAATTGAATCAAATCCCTAGTTAAGAACCATCTGACACTTCATTAAATTTGATATTTCAGAATAGCTCGAGTTGCTGAAGAATATTCTAGAATGCATCAATCCCAGGGAGAGTAAACTAAAAAGGATCTCCTTCATGGGCAGAAAAAAACCCAAGCAAGCAAGCACTTGAGTATCAGCTCCAGTTTTCACAAGCTCATGCACAACTGGGCTGCTTGGATCTTTTGATTAATGTTGAGGATCCAATGACCAAGATCGACAGAGCTCAGGATCTCCATTGAGCTTTTGTTTACGTTGCTCCACAGAAGCTAGATTTAGTTAGGTGGTAGCCTTTAATATGCATGACATATGCAGGTCACTAGAAATTGCTAAACAATCTTCTGAACAACCTTCACCAGCAAGGTTTAATGCTTAATCCAAGAATGACTTTAAAAGTAAAAATTGCTCTCAATCTTCAAAATTGAACCCTCTATGCTAGAAAAAAATTGAATGTGGATTTCAGCAATATAAGAAAAAAGCTTACTTTATGGTATATGGGTCCTATACACTGGTTGTGGAGACATCTTTGCAGACGCCTTCCTCCAAACTAGGGGTGAGCATTCGGTGCAAATGCGGTAAATCGGTGCGCTGAATTCGGTTTTTTCGGTTATTGCACCTATAGAAATCTAAACCGTTTTCAATTTCGAATTGGGCATTACCGAATTCATGCGGTACCCGATTTCAAATTCGAAAACGGTAATGAATTCGGTCTAACCGAATTCATCTATTATTTAAAAAAAAACCTGCAGCAAATTAAGAGAATATATAAACCAATCTTTATAGTTCAGCAACTACCAACCCCCGCAAGCCATTAGATGTTTCTCTTTTACACATTGCAGAAAATTCATATCCAGAATCCTAGGTACAACTTCTGGAGCCGTACTTTCACTAGATGTGCACCAGAGATTGAGAATCTCCACGGACAAGGAGGTAAAATTTTCATTTTAGCAAGTTTTTTTCTTTATAATTTTTCTAACGGGTAAAAGGTGGAATTTTTCCCCAAGGCCTTAACTTTTAAAGGCTGCACAACTGGAGAGAGCTTCTTGTGTATAAAATACAAAGCTTATGTTATATCACACCTAATCTAAACTACTACAACAGTTAGAGTTTGCAATTGGAAGCTCAGATTTCGTCCCCTTATCAATTCAGGATAACAAATTTCCTAGTCGATCTTGGCCCATTTTAATGCCAGAGACACAGAGCCAAAAACAGAGGAGCACTTACCTAAGTGAGCCAGAGATGAGCAGTGATGAACCAGCGATGAACTAGTGAGATCTTGGTGCTTCGTCTTCGACACTCGGCAGCGATGAACCAGCACGGCAGGACACAGCCGACAGGAGACGTAGAGCGCGGCGGACTGGCGGAGGCCGGAGAGGCAGAGAGCAGCTTCGATTTGGGAATTGGGACTTGGGACTTGGGAGTGTTAGTGCTGTGAAAGCCCTAGGTGACGGCAGTCACGGCACTATGCAATATTGCAAATTTGCAATGGTTGTTTTCTCACTTTTCAATTTTCATCAGCTGAAGATGAAATCCGACTTTTTCCGAATGAAGTGATTTTGTAATTTTTAATTTACAAATTGGGGCTCCTAAATTATAATACATTCATTATGCTCCTCAATGATTTAAAAATTATTACTAATTTGATCCCCAAATTTATTCATAATTGAACACATTACTTATGTTCAAATCATTTTGTGGTTTAATTGGCATTTATTTGATCACTTATACCTAAAATCCTTGGTATATGATTTAAAAAACACATAAAAAGTGATTAATTTAAATTAATTTAGTTAGTAGTTACAATGAATTTATAATTTACAATGATTAATAATAAGTAATATTAGTTACAAACTTACAAATTACAATGAATCAATGACCAGTGATAAATTACATTAGTTACAAACTTATAACTTATTTTAAATCAAAATAAAACTTATTTACTTGATTTGCAACTCACATGTATTCACTTACACTGTTTAGTTATTTTGTCTATACTTAAAGCCTTAAGATTAGTAAATAAATAATATAAACTTTTAACTTATTTGATCACTTATACCTACAATCCTTAGTTTATGATTTAAGGAACACATAAAAAGTGATTAATTTAAACTAGAATAAACCTTAGACTGTACAATGGTTAGTAATAAACTCAATGAGACAAGAGCCCTATGGTATCAACAGCTCTATCTACAGATGTAAACTCGTCAAACGCAGATAACAAGATTATATCTTGTGTAGTGCAAGTTTTTTTTGGGTACATCACGGAGAAGGGCGACATCCACAATTTGGCAAATTGGATGCCTGCTGGTAAACGTTGAAAACCTAACAAGTAAAGTCGTTATTACTTTATGCACGAATGGATTAAAGATTGTGCCCAGAAGAATAGGGCCAGGTGCCATTTTTCTTCTGAAGTTCAAGTTGGTCAAGTGAAGCTAATGGAAATTTGAAGACATGAATCATGACTAATTTGAAAATTTTTCAAAAAATAAACATGTGCATTAAAAAAAAAAGAACAGAACATCTACAAGCATAAAATTTGAAGCACGTCGATAGCTTAATCCAAAATGACTGGCAAAACACATGGACCCATGCGTATAAGTTCACCCTCATGCCATGTAACTAAGATAATTTTGATTGTCTTATTAAGTAAAGTGGCCCCAACTTGAAGTTCCCGAATCATCAAAGTGCCTACGTCAAGAGAAATTAATGATAGATACCAGGATGTGAGCAATGTCATATTAATTAAACATATAAACTAAAGCAATACTTCCAAACAAAACTCAAGGCTTCAATGTGACTTGAAGTTTGAAATGCATGTCCGCTTGGTCTAGAAGGCACTACATAGATTTAGTGTAGTATCCTATGAAAAGGAGACAAAGCAAACCCTAAACAGAGAAAAGGCCAGAAATGGAATATCCATTTGGACAGTCAAGAATCTTCCTAGCTTAGGGCCGTGGCAGCACTTAGGAGACAGTAACAACTAAGGTGAACTCTGATTTTTGCCCACAAAGAAGTAAGAAGCTCATGTGGCAATGGAGGATCCTTTCCAAAGGATCTCTCTTGATGGAGTAGTTCAGCACATGCCCAATTTAAAGGCTTGCAATTTAGAAACCACCACACTCAAACAGTAAGCATCAAAGCCCAAGTATCCTATGAAGGGGAGGGACTCCTTGAACCAGCTGCCCTGCATGAACATCATGTCAACCAGTGATGTTTCTAAGCCAGTGAACATGAACAAAAACCAATCTCAATTTGGCAGGTTTTGGAGCCCTTCAGAGTGCCCTCGACTAGACTAGTCAAGCTGTTTCAACTCGAATGCACAACTGTCAACTTTCCTTTGCAACTTGCCTCCAGTAGAAGATAAAGTTATAGATCTTGATCAGGTCAAAGCTTGCTTGATCAGTGGTTTACTTAGTTTCCTCTTATACACATCCATAAATCCCATTTCTTAATCTTGATCCATATCATTTGAGTAGGATATGAGAATCATATTTTTCTGTCCAAGCTTTTTTTGCAGTCTTCTTTTACACCTTTACATTTTGTATCTTCTCCAATCCCCTTCTTCCAGTTAATTTTGTTTTGCCAGTTTCTTTACTTTTTCTTGAATAGCTACCCTAACCTAAAACTTTATTGCATTTTTCTAGTTTTATACTTGCAGATGTCAGCCATAACTATCTATTTTCACTTCATCAATATGCCGCTTTGGATACACCAGCTTTCCAATAGAAGCCAAGGAAACTAAGGGTTGCCCAGAATTTTCAAACAACTTTAGAAGAAGCAAATATTTATTGAACTCTCACTGATCCAATCAACAAAAGATTCTTCAGTCCTTTTGAAAAAATAACAATTGAAAAAAAAATTCCTTTGACAAGCAAACTATTTTTTTTTTTTTGAATAACAAACAGCCACGCAATTATCCCTTAGAAAGGGATCTTTAGGCCCAAGGAAAACAGCATCCTAATGACTCTTTGGATGTATAATCCATTTCCAAAAATTTTCACTTATTCTCCATTTTCCTAAATGTATTAAAACTTCAAACTTATGTTTTTCTCTCCACAAATCTGCATCTAGGGTTTTGCAAACATAAAACAAGTATATCTTTCCACAAAATGCCCATACAAATTGTTCTTCTACTCAGATCAACAAGTCTGACAAGAAATATTACAGCCAGTAATACAGGTTATTGAATAAGAAAATTGGATGCGACTGCAGAAGTATGATCTTAAGCTACAAAAAAGATCAACTTCATCAAGGCCAAAATGATTGAAAACTAACTGAAACCTATCCTAGATAGCTAAGGGCTTAGTTAACAGCTAACGTGTCTATACAAGGAAAACTAAAGCTTCAGATTTGCTATTCCCCTAATTCCAGATTATTTCCCTTTCTCTTCATTCATGTCCCCATGCAATTAAAAGAAGAATAAACAAGAAAGGAAAATACATACGCTGATGAAAACAAAAACTACAAATTACAAACTCCTTCCTCAATTTATATCTGAGTCCAAGAAAACATATGGCCGCTTCACCAAAAATGTAAAGTGCATAAATTTTACACTTCATTCAATCTTATCTCCCTCATTTCCAAGCTTATTATCCAAACCCCCAAACCGCGCCCCCCCCCTTCCCAACGCATCCAAAATCAAATCTACATGGCACCAACATCCCACAAGAGCACAAATCAAAATTCAATCTTGAATAGATTCCAGACACGAATGCTAAAACCCTAATGAAAAACAGCCCATATATCCCAATAAACAATCCAAGAGCATCAAGCTGAATGAAAAAAAAACAAGCAAATGAGCAAACGAAACTCAACTAGAAATCATTAAACCATCATAACATTTCCAGAACCAGATTGAAACCACAAAAATCAAAAACACACAAAAAAACAAGAAAGGAAAAACACGTACGCCACAAACACTTGAATGCCATTGAAAGAATGGTTTAATACCTCTAAAAAATTTAATCAAATAAAATCAAAGACAATGGGACTTTGAATTAGTGAATTGGTGGTAGTTGGGCGAATTAGAAAAATAGATAAAAATGAGGGGGGGAAATTTGGTAAAAACTGGGGAAATGGTGGTTTTGGTGGCGGTGGTGGTGGTGGTGGCGGTGAAGGAGGAGCCAAGGGGGAGGAAGATTTAGCATGTCAGGAAAAGCGTTACCATCAGTGTATACTTGGAAACAAGTATGTCATTTTCAGGGTGCGCCGCGTCAGCATTTGGAACATAATCTTTAACCCAACCCGGGAACTTGGCTCAGTTTTTTTTTTTTTTTTTTTTCCTGCTCGGGTTACAACTACTGCAATTCTTCTTCTTATTATTTATTTATATTTTTACGAGTGATAGATGAGATTTAAGAAGCAGGAATAAAAAGAAAATTAAAACTCATGACAGTTAATTCATGAGACTTCAACAATCAAGACTTTCTTGATTATTAATTACACATAATTTGATAAGTCATTGATTTTTTTTCCATATTTTTAACGAACATGTTAATTAATCAATTCCTATAAATTAGATCAGATTTGGCAGTTTTTCTTATGCAGCAACGCCCGACATGGCACAAGCGCGAAGGGGTTCAAGACTCAGTTTTCTTTTTATGAGGGCTAAAATTACTTATTTTAGCTTGTTTAAAGTACTAATACTATATTTTCCTACATTTCCATCCTAAATTACTGCTTAATCCGAGTAATTATTATCATTTTAAATAGAAACTGAATTCTATCTTTTGCAAGTTATTGTTACCTTTTTTGCCCAAGTTTTGAGTCGTGTAGTTTTTTAACTCTCAATTGCATTTAATAGTATCGACCAACTTCGGGCCATGTCAGCTATGCAATTTATTTTCTTTTCGTATTTAGGCGAATTATATAGATTTCACTTCGCAATTTTTTGTTAGCGAGCATTGAAAGGCTATGAAGTGCGTTTTCCATTTGGAAACACTAAAGACTAGTGATAGCATGACAATGAAAAGAAAATTGGAAAAAAAAAAGATTAAGATAAGAAAATCAGTGGCTCAAATTGGGGCATATTAGTGTTGAATTTCAGTTTGAATCTTTTTATTGTTGATAGTATTTTGATGAGCATTAATTTTTTCTACCAGTGGAAATGTGGGATTTAAGAAGCGGAAAAAGGGTAATTATTAGGGAATTAGAATTTAAAATCTATATGTTTTAAGGCATCAGTTTTAACGATTAAATCAAAATTTTTTTGATAGTTAAATGAAAGCTCTTAACTTTATTTCAACCACCTTTTTTTTTAATCTTTGACATTTAGGAGATGTAAAATTCTAAGAAAAACAGGGATAAGCTCAAGCATTTAAAGATACGAAGCGTTGATCATCAAGCAGACGAGCTTCAATACCTTCAAATTCAATGTTTGTAGTAAAAGACAATGAAAATTCTTTTTTTTTCTTTTCCACTTTTAAGGGG